TTTTTGGTAGGGAAGAAAGTAAGTTTGTGTAATGGTCCGAACTCCAAAGCTATTGTATGTTGTTCTTACACCTAAAGAAAAATGCAGAAGAGAAGTAATGTACAATGAGAAGCTTCTTTTATTGTTGCAACTCAAGAAATAATTCAGGGTAATTAGTTTATTTTCTTTTGTTGGAACCATCAACTACCATGTCTTTAGTTCTTTACCAAAATATTATAGACAAATTAATAAATCTTGAACAGATTATTATAACCATAATGGCAAAATGACCAACTAACTATGATAAGTTACTCGCATATAGAGAGACAACGAGGTGTTTGAAACATGATATATGATTCAAGAATCAAGAGTTTGTTGTATTAAACTTTTTGTAGAAATTTTTTCTTCATAATTGAAGTTTAGACCAGTCTCCAAGATTTGTGGAAGATGTGGTAGTAATAGAAACTCTTTCTAACTCATTCTTCTTTGTTATACAGCTGAAATCCCAAAAAACAACATTTTAGACTTTAACTTGCTAAGCTAAGCATCAAAACAGTTTACTTCATTCGTGAATTCACACATATTCCCGTATAAAATCAACAAATCTTATCTACTACTATATTTTAGTATCTAATTTATTATTATTAGTGGAAGTCTCTTTGGCCTATTTGTTGACTAATGGTTAATTAATGCTTCTACATCCAGAGGTCGCAAGTGTGCAGGAGATCTCCAGCGATGTACAATTATAGCCGTTCGCCAGGATTCTATGAAGAGAAGTAAGTGTCCATCGAGCATGAAGAAGGAGGTGAATGAGGTGTCATCTGTCGTGGATCTAATAAGGATCGGAAGAAATTGTCCGTTGTAGAATCGTATATGTAACCGTTTTCATAATTTGCAATAAATAATAAATCCGGACGATAAAATTTTTTTTTTATTATTATTAAAAATGTTTACATATTATTTATCTACTATATTTTAACAGATCTAATTTTTTGAACAAAACAAAATCTATAATATTTCTTTTAATTTTTGTTTTTGTTTTGAACTGACCTGACGAAGCATATATATCACAGTCCATAAGTCTAGTCCAAACAAAAAAGATGGGCAAAATCTTGCCAACATTAATTATTGTTGGGGACCATGTCTTTATTTGTTTCTTTCTTTGCTTTTTTAGGCAGTCATGTGAAGGTGCACTAAGTTGTGGGGATGACACGTGACAAAGATATTGTAAAAATTTCTTCTTAAGGTTACAAGTGTTAATCATCAGCTAATACCAAAAAGGTTCGTTAGGTAAAAAGGTATTACGATATGATTCCTAAAACGATAATGCGCATATTAATGTTGTTGTGTCCTTCTAAAATGCTCGAACATGTCCATTATCAAATTCTATCTTTTTCCATTACTACATAACTTTACGATTCCTTTTTGATCCAAATAAACTAAATTGATTTAGTTATGAATTTATACTGTTTATATAACTTTATATAAAATGTTACAGATTTAAGATTTAGTTAAAGATGTTACGTCTAAATAATAATATTGTAAGTACATTTTTTACAAAAACCTATGACACATATCGGCCACAAAAAATAAAAATTGATAATAATATACTTTCCAAAATTGATGATTGTGATTAAGTTAATCAGATTAACCATGGATGTTTGAATATACAAGAACCATATGGAGCAAGCAATCTTCCCTCTAGACTACGGTGGTGTTATTTGTTAGTGAAGTTAAAGTCAACTATCATATGTGTATGGTTGCTAGGCATGGGACCATCACCGGTAGAGCCTGTTGTTGGTGGCGTTGAACAGATCAGAAGATCCATTGCGGGTCTGGCGAGAGGATGGAAGGAAACCATGGTTGAAATCTTAAAACTTTTGATCTTGGTTTCTGGCCGGAGTCTCTGCCGCAAAGTAATGGGTCTTGCTTTCTCCGGAATTACTGTTCATGTCTCTATATAAGGTCGTCAACAGATTAGGAGCATTCTCCGAAGGTGATGTTTTGCTTTTGAGGTTCTCTTTATTACATGTTTCTGTTTTGTAAAGATTTTGCATAGGTCCAATTTCTTGGGAGACCCAATTTTATTAGTATAAGTAAATTAAGAAAGAAAGAAAGAAAAAAAAAACTTGTCCGAAACAGGCTGATTTTGAATCAAGAAACTGCAAAGTTATCATCAATTTGGTTTCATCACAATATATATACTCATGTTCAAAAAAGTTAAACTAGTATTTAATGAATTTTTTTCTTTTCTAAATTACTTATAAATTTAAAAGGAATGGAGTAGATTCGAAAATCACTTGTTCATTTTGTTATTGTGTGTTTGTTATGATGAATCCTTATCTAATAATTCACAAGTCACTTCTCTATTAACTGCAACTCTCTCCATTTGACACTTGGCTTAAGTCCCAAAATTTCACCTTTCACTTAAAAAAAAAAAAAATAAACTTTGCTTTTAAATAGAAAAAAAAAAGAATTTACGACAGAATTTTTTTGACAAAGAAATAAATATCAACTGCTCTTTTCCACGATCTTAAGATTCTTTTCCTTTTCTCTCCCCAATTACGATCTCAGTGGCAACCGTATAAACCATTCTGTAAAAACAGATGTAATAATTTCTTCTTCTTCTTCTCTCTTTTCTCATAACCTTAGATCCTCCATTCTTTCTTCTAAATAGTATAACAGAGAATCGAAAGGATGACGTAAACAATGAAAGTTGAGACTTTTGTGATGCCTAATGTGATGGACGATGTTAACTTCCTACAACGTACTACGTTCGGTCCACCTAATCGCTGGTATGCATGTCATTAAATCTTTGGCTTTGGTTTCCAGATTTGTTGCGTTTTACTTGGTCTATCTTCTTACACTTTCTATGCACACCAGCTGCTCGACAAAATGACCACACGAGTTTGAAAAAATCGTATAGAAACAAAATGGATGCAGCTTGAATCAATTGTATGAACGTGGAATTCTGCCAACAATTTTGTATAGAGAAGCAACAAAAAAGCAAATGTTTTGGGGCTTTCAATTCAAAAGAAGAAGAAGAAAAAAAATAATTTGAGAGATGGGTGGCATGACATGACATCTTCTTCCATGGTGTAGTGTGCAAAAGAATTTAAATGTGAAACCATCTTATATGTTCAAGTTTCAAAAGCGTTTTGATACGAAGGTAATTCATTTTTCCATCATTACTATTGTTAGGTTTGGAGAAGAAAAATGGTTCTGTATAGCTTTTCTTCCTCATCTATTCTTTCTCTTTTTTACTGTATATTTGGCTGTTTCAAAATATAATGAAAATTTCCTTAATTTTTGCACCTATATATCACGATTTGGGTGAAGTTGAGGAAGATTTCTATTGAGAGTTACAGAGCAATTTGTAATATATTCAATCAATGTATTAAGATAAAATAAAACTAAATAAATTGTATTTTGTGACATTCTTCATTGGTATAATGGTTGCAAATTTTTTTTTTAAAAAAACAAAATATACTATTGGTATTGTTGTTTTCCCGTGCAAAGCACGGACTGGTACTAGTGGTATATATTTGACGAAAACGTAAAAATTACGGTATACCAATCAAGTCCAAAATCTCGTGTTTTTGTATAACTAGAAATCCTTTTTTTTTTTTTTTGCTTGGCTCGCAAGAATGGCGCAGTTCCTTTATTAGAATATCTCATATATTTTTTTTTTCTGGATTTCAAGCAAGAAAACCAGCTCTCTTTCATATACATATGCTTTGATGCATCAAAATTCTTAAAACAACTTGTATAAAACAGTATCATCTTACTTTTTCCCTCATCATATGTAAATTGTTGGGCCGGATACGAAATCTTCTTCTAAGCCCATAATGGGCCTATTTATTATCTCGGGCTCGGTATAGAGATATCGGAATGTAGAACAAACATGTTTTAAGTTCACAAAAAAAACCTACGAATCTAATATGTACCCAGAGGCATAGGCCTCCATTTACTGAAGTGGACTCTATTCACAAAACTGGCACTGTGCAGCCAAAATGTCTTGAAGAAATAAGCTGACCAGCCTTCCCTTGCGCACGACCTAAATAATTTGCTAAATACTTCCTCTTTGACAGAGGCAAAGGCTGAACATCAGCTTGTCCATTTTTAGTCAAAGCATCATCGACGTTTCCTGGTATGATTATATTGAAGGCAGTTGTGTCTTTCTTGTCACTCCGGTCAGCCTGCATCCACAATCATTGAAGCATTCATGTTTCTGTAAAACAAACTCTAAGAACCTAGCTCAATGATTCCATAAATAGGCACATAGACCATTTGGTTACTCGCAACCAAATGAAACTCCTCAACAGCAAGCAAGCTAAGTAACTTGGGAGTGAGGATAACAGAGCACGCTAAGTATCTCGGGAGTGAGGATAATAGAGTGGTTGATAAATGTTGACCAGGATCTAAACAAGTGAGCTCCAGCACCACTACGTTAGTATAACAAAGATAACTAATGTTAAATATAGCACACAACGATACAGTTCATCGAAACAACGATACAGTTCATCGATCAAGTTCCACATAAGAATAACAATTTGTATAACTTGGAAAAACAAATATATGATCGCGACGACCAGATCTTTGGAAAAACCTAGTGAATCAGAGAACAATTTATCATTGTAATTCGAAACAACAAAATAAAACATCAGCATAAACAATTTGAATCAGTGAGTGATGATTTCGTTAACCTTGACATAGGTCTGATTAATCTCCTTGTCATTAAGACCTCCCAACATTCTCACACATTCTCAACATGCTCACACATTCTCACAGATTTAACATAAGCTGGCACAAAGAATAAATCCGCCTCGTCTTTCTTAATCGTCCTAAATTTGGACTCCAAAAGCAACTTGTGAATACTAACCTATCCTCATCATCATCATCATCATATTCACAAGCAAAACACAATCATATACTCAAACAACCAAACCAGAAGATACGATCAAGTAGCTAACAAATCCATACTTAACAAGAAGCCAAAGAAAGAAAGAAAAAACTTGACCTTTCAGAACTAGAAGAAAATCATTGTTAAATCAAAATGCAGAAAATGTTAAATTGTTACAACAGTTCATCAGTACAAATAATTGAATTTGGTAAAACAGAGAATAAACTTTGGAAATAAGACACATGATATCCAAGGGTGGTTTCGCGATCAACGAGTAAATCATAAGATTTGGCATGGAGATCATGCAGCACCAAGTAACCATGTTGTCCAACCAATAACTTATCGTCGTCCAGAATTTCTATAGGTTTCACAGGGAACAAGGGTTTGTCCCCAAACCAAGAAACAGTTTTTGTGAAATCTATCGAACACAATATCTTCCATGTCTTGTTGAGGCCTGAAGAATCCAACGACCATATCACTTGGGTTGCACCATTGTTCTCAGATACGCACAAGCGGTTGTCGAGGATGCACATGATGCGGTTGCTATGGCTGAAAATGTCACTTGCGGGGGTAAAGGGAGCTTTACAGATGACTTGAAAAATTTCAGTGTGCAGATCGAAAGATAACAGCTTGGTCTCTTCGCAAAGGGTGAGCCAATAAAGAGACCCATCAAAATACACGGGAAAATTGACATCATTAATCCGATAGGGAGAAGCAGGGAGAACGTACCTCCAAGCGTTTGTGCTAAAATCGAAAACTTCACAAGTGGTAACGTTTTCTAGTCCAAATTCGGTTGAATTATACAACCAAACCGGCTTGTATGTGCCCGTAAATTTATCTTTGCCAAATCCAAGCTTAGGATTCGGGTAGTCATACTCACCCATCAAAATACACATATGAGAGATTTCACAGGAAGCCTCTCAAGGATGAGCTCTACAACATCGTGTGGAAGCAATTCCTCACTGGAGCGACGATGTCTTTTTACTGTTTCGTTTTCACTGGAGCGATGTCTTTTCAACAACATTGTCTTGTTTCCAATTGATCAACAGACAATTGAGGCTTCATACACACGAGCTGAGCTAGGAATCGCAAAAAAAAAAAAAAGTCAAGTCGGTTTAAGGAAATGGAAATTTTAGCACTCTACAAATTCTCTCTATCGACATTCCTAAGTATTGTTATCTTATTAATAATCAAAACATAAAAATCTCGTCAAACTAAAATCACAAATGACAAAAGATAAATTACAGTGAGTGTACCTCATGAAATGATCGCATCAAATCGTTAATCGATTTATTTCCTTAGAACAATCTTTTACACTAAATGTTGGTCGATGTGGATGAGGAGGTTCTTACAGGCGGAGGAGGAGGAGGACAAACTCAAGCAACCTAGGGGCGTTCTTTTCATTTGTTTTGATTTTTCTCTCTTGGGCTTTGATTCTAATTTGGGCTTAAAACCCATATTCCTCTTTGACCAATTGGATCTTTGATGTGATTTCTTCATCTCTTTTCCATTTTTCGTTTTTGTTTATTGCAATTTTGTATATTTTCTCGATGTATTTATTATGGCTTTATAATTTTTTAAATTTTTTTTATATTATTAATATTAAGGCCCATCCCGAATTGGGTTTGAGCTTGGAAAAACGAATTCACAGTTACAAAATTGGAAACTTTTTCCGGTAAACAACACATAGACAAACGAGATTGGATCATGATGGTGGACAGAGGCATATCAGATCGTCCGATCTACTAATATCGGCGAATTCGAAGTCCATTGCTTTGCGAATTTGCCTCCGGATTGAGTTCGGATCTACTACTTGGTCTTGAATAATGGAACAAGTTTATTTTAAATAATATATATCAAAACTTTATTTTAAAATATATAATATATAAATTTTGTACTAAATAAAATTTAACCCTTACTATAGTATGAATCATGATCTAGTATTTTTTTTTATTATTGCAACAATTTTTTTTATTTTTGTTACAATCATGATCCAATATTCTAGAATATTTTGACCAATTAAATAATTAAACGAGAAATGGGTTTCCTCCTAAACATTTTGTAGCTAAATTCGGAAAGAAAAATCCACGTAACTCCTGAAATTTTCGGATATTTTATCAATTTCCTTGTTTATTCGCCTAAAATTATTTTGTAAAAAGTTTGAAAAGTTCAAATAATAAAAAAAGTTTTACAAAAAAAGAAAAACAACTTGATTCGGCCCAAGCTTCGCGAGCACGAGTTAATTGGAATTGCTAATTGTTTATTTTATGGGCTCGGCGGGAAAAATCATCGAATTTTCTCTTTCTTCCTTTTTCCCTCAAAAAAATCCCCAAATTCAATCTGCCGTTAGGGTTTTCAATTTCTTCCACTTCTTCTTCTTCGTTTCGCTTCTTCTACATCTCTCCTTGTTCGATAATTCTGGAATCATCATGAGGAAGACGGTGAAGCGAGAATCAGAAGCCCCCGGCGGCAGCGGCGGCAAAAGAGAAGCAGACGAAGAGCCGGAGCGGTTGAGGTCTGTGAAGAAGGAGAAACAGAGAAAAGCCGGAGCTGGCTTCGTACGACCCGACGAGCCTCCTCCGACTCAGGAAGAAGAACAAGGAATTTCTGATCGGAGAATTCTCAGATCTAAGTATCTCTCTCTTCAAAACGAAATCAACGGTACCATTTCAGTCTCTTACTCACTCTTTATTACTTATGTCCATTGATTCTTTTTAATTTTAGAGTTTTTTTTTTCTTTTTGTTTTGCAGATTCTAAAGATGATTTGATGAAGATTGACTCTGACAAATTCTCCAGAATTATTAATGAAGTTGAAAACTTGCACAAACAGGGTAAATTTCTTGCTTTAACATTGTGAATTTTGATGTCTTTGATCTCGAAAAAATATTGCAATAGTACCTCCTTCTTCAGTAATTTTTGTCGCATTTCGCGAAAACGACGTAAATGCAGCTCTTTTGTTGAGGAGTTTTATGAGTCGGAGATGTTCTTTAACTATATTGAACCAGAGACTAATGAAAAGACTTCCTTTTTTGGTTTGGTTACAATTTCTTCTGTAGTTCGGAAGCCTAGGGAACAGATTGCAGACGCAGAGGCACTTCTTGATATAGCAAACACCGTAATGTCATCGGTGAAGTCTCAGTCTGCTCATGGTGTTTCTCCGGCTGAGTTTGTTAATGCTTTGGTCAGTGGGTTTGGTCAAGGTTCTTTGGGAATTGATACTGATGAAACTGCCCAAGTATCTTTAAAGTGGAAGGATCTTGGGTTTGCTGTCTGTTCTACTGTTTTAGTATCATGTGGTTGTTCCACAATGTGAGTTCTCATAATAACTACTCTATATTGACTTGCTTTGCTATAATTGAGTATATTCTGTCTAAACAAAGGTTTATTTGCCTGTTTTGCTACCAGGTTGGGACCTATGGATACTGAACTGAAGCAAAGGAAAAGGGCAGCTAACAGAAAACGTACAAAGCCTGGTGAAGGCGTTCGTCCAGATGAGGTAAGAAGTGTTTTGCAGACCCCATTTTGTTTGAGTTTACTAGCATTATCAAACTGATTCCACTTATTTCGTACTTGTAGTCCTATTTTCCTTTGAGACTGCACATCTTAACTCCTTGCCTAGATTCATTGAGTGCTTTTCTTATCTCAGCCTGATCGATCAGTGGTGTTTAAGAGTCATTTGCATGGTATCCAATGTTGTATATGCTGTGTGCACTGTTTAATTGTACAAAAAAACTTAGTGAAATTGAAAGCTCTCGTATGTTGATTGATTTGCAATGTTTCCGCTGTGAGATATGTGTGATGCTTTGTCTTGAACTTGCTGAATGTTATGTAGTTAGGATGTGAATAAGAAACAAACAAGCTGATTTGAGTACTTAACGTAATTACCAGGTAGATGATTCACAATCAGAAGAGAAAACTGATACAGACAAGAATATGGCAATAATGTTTACCATCTTGGGGAAAAAGAGGCGCGTGCGGCTTGAGAATTTGGTGCTCAATAGGCGGTCATTTGCACAGACTGTAGAGAATCTGTTTGCGCTATCTTTCTTGGCCAAAGATGGACGAGTTGAGATCATTGTCGATAAAAGTGGTTCTCATTTCGCATGTAAGATCACAAGTCCATTCTCTTGTGTCTGGTTTTGATATTTAATTCGTTTCACTTATATTTGATCTCCTAATGTGTCCTCAGTGCCGAGAAATGGACCTGATGCAATTCTGGTGATGTCGGGTGAAGTCATTTATAACCATTTTGTGTTTAGATTAGATTTCAAAGATTGGAAGGTAAATAAAATAGAATCTCATCTCGATTGTTAAATTATTTCCTGAAAATGTCTGACTTTTTTGTGTGATTATATGTCAAACAGTTGATGTCTGAAATGGTGCCACTGGGCCAGGAGTTAATGCCACACAGAGAAACTGCAGTCGCTTCATCTTCTTGTCCCGCTGCATCAGCAGATTTCACACAAGATACTCAGACAACACCGATAAGAAAACTGTCGAGAAACCGAGGTTTGGTTGTACAAGAAGAAACTGTTGTAGAAGAAGAAACTGTTGTAGAAGATACTCCTGACACCAATGGCGATGAAACTCGAAGGAGATGTAAGCGGAAACTCACCTAGTCTTAAGGAGTGTATAGAGAGAGTAGTGAGTTGAAACTCTTGTATCTGTTTCATTTTGTGACATTAGCTTAATGTCTTCACTAGGATTGTTTTGTTCATGGTAGGTTTTACCAGTTAAGTGGCTTTGTCTTAACTCTTAAAAGAAGCCATTAAAGCCTCTTTGGCTTTTCTTCTTCTTTTTAATCTACTCAAGCGAGACATTTTATCTAATTAATGTTAGATATCAAAATCAAAGCATTGAGTTTGTAAATCAAGAAACTATGTAATACAAAAGCAAAAACAAAATAAAAAAACAAACTCTAATTAGGTTATAATAAAAATCCCTAAGAACCAAGTAGCTATTGGATCCTAACACCAAACAACATAAACCCTCCTTTCTTCTCCTCTGATTTGGTTTCTTCTTCTAACTTCGAGCTAAAGAGGGTTTCTGTTTTCATTTCTTCATCAGAACTCTCGTGAACCGTCTTGTTTACTTCCTCGGGAAGGTTGAAACCGTTGCCTGAAAAGTAATGAACATCAATCATCAAGAAGTTCTTGCTTTGGCCTTCTAATGTCTTCACATTGCTGGGGACATCGCAAGTGTAAAAGACAATAATATCTTTCTCCTTGAGATTCTTCTCCTTCACGAAACCATTCCATCCTCTGGTGAAGACAAAGCTCTGGCTACTTCTCCAGTAACAATACCTAAACTTCCATTGTCTCATTGCTCTGTCATAAAACACAACCTCCACATCTTCTACTCCTTCACTCGTCTCTTTCTCGCTTTGATCATCGCTAATGAAAGGCATATACTTCACTGCATACTTCTTAGGTATCACAAGCCTATTCAGTTTCCCTACATCGCTCGGTGTCAGTTCCTTCTGAAAAAGCTGTGTGCACGAGAAACACTTGTTCGATTCTTGAGCTCCTCCTTCTCCTCCTCGGACTTGTTTTGAACCAACGATGTTGATGTTAGCGACAATCTGAGACCGGATTCTAAGAAAATCTCTGAACTTGTGCTGGTAAGAACCGTCTCTGATCATGTTCAACACAGCTTCTGTTGAGTAGCACTCTTGAAAGTCCGGTTCATGAACCGTAAAATCAGACCAAGGGAAGTTCCTGTGCGAGTTAGCGTCAAAGCTTCGAAGCTTAATCGATGCGCTATCGTAAGCCGCAGCGGCTTCAGGAGCGGATTTGAAAGTTCCAAGCCAAATCCGTTTGTGTTCTGCGTAAATCTGAGCACCCCAATGACCGTTCTGCTGCTGAACCACTCCTTTGTATTTCGTCGTGTTGGACAAGGCAGGTTTTATGGTCGTCGTCGTAACCAAAGTAGGTTTCATGCGTTTCGTGATGTGCAAGACAGAGTCACTTGAGCCTGAAGTCTCTGTCGTTGTCTTGGCTTCATAGCTCATCTTGTCCATATCCATAAACAAAAAACAAAAATCAAGAGAAAGAAAAAAAAAACAAGAGACAGAGGAAGAGAGAGAGATCTTCGCAGGAAACAAGCAAAATAAAAACAGAAGAAATTAGGAAGAGTATTTGAAGGAGAGATTTGAGGGAGTAAATCCTGGAAAATCAGTATTATGTTTCTCTGTTGTTTTTGTTAACAATGAATCTTTTAGAATGTTACAGTTTCCATTTTTTGTTGTTTTTTTCTAGTTTTCTCTCGGTGAAAAAATGGGAATTTACAGAGTAATTATGTCACCAGAAGCTGTTAGTGGTAAGTTTCCTTTGTTAGTGAGATATTCGTATTTTCTCTGTAGAAAGAAATATTCAGTGAATTTTCTTATGATTAAGACAAAAAGTAAACTTTTCTTAATGTTAATTTTGTCTAAATTTAGACATTAGTAGCGAAAATTATATCATCATTCTCATGTGGTTTCTTGTTTTTTCTGGTTCCTGTTACATCCAAAAAAACTAATGATGAACAGAGAAATTTAAACCATCACTTTCCATTGTTGTAAAACATTTGACAGTTTCTTACATACTATTTTTTCATATATTCAAATAAGAGCATAGAACAATGCAGCTAAATTTCTCGGATGTGCACGAAGATAATGTTGTCGAATCCTCGACTTATCCTCAACTTCTCATCTGTGTACCTACAAACACATCTCTCTGTATTAGTATAAACATCATTGCATCATCATCTGTTGTATATAGTAGAAGAAGAAGATAGAGAGATCTTACAGAATTTTAAGTTCGATGTTGTTTGTTATATCGACAGGATATCCAAATGCACCGCCTATAATTGCTGCGTCGTCCATCTTCAAATTATAGGTACTGCTTTCTGATTTTCTGCAGGTCATTCATGAAACCAATCAAGAAACAGTTTCAGAAAAAAGTTAGCAAAATGACTATCTAAAAGACAAAGAGAATTACATGAATTTGCCTTTCATGGAGAATCTAAATGCTGGGATGATGTTAACTTCAAACTTTATTCTTCCATCCTTCTCGATGATCTGAAACATATCTTCAATTTCGGTTAATGAAACAAGTTGAAGCAACATTATACTACTTAAGACATTATAGTAAAGTGTATACCTGTCTTCCCATAAGACCATTGGCTGCATTTTCAATCCAACTATCTGTAAACATCTGCAAACACAAAACCCGAAAAATCGCTTATCCAAACGAATAAATTTCTTCTTCAATACAAAAACTAAAGTGATAGGAGAAATGACCTGTGAACTCCAAATCATTTGCCAGCTTCCTTCTAAAAGCTCGTAATCATCTTCCGCGGGATTAGAATTAGTCGCAAGAAACTCATCGATAGCCTGTGGTTATACTAAGCGATCCATTTATTTCATTTCAAACTGAAATATCATTTGCTTTCAGGTTTCTTGAAGGCATTACACATTACCTCAGCTACTCCTTTGTCTTGAGATATGGTGGCTAACAATTTCTGTCTAGGCAAGGTTTCTTTCTGAAGAACAAATGTTGTTCCCTGCGCTACAAATATATCGCCTTATGGATAAAACTGCTATAAAGCTAAAAAGTTTAATTTCCAGAATCAAGAAACTCATTTACCTTGTTTCCCCTTGAAATCCTAAGGTTTCCTGAAGGCGACAAATACGTAGTATCTAACCAACCTTTTGCCTCATCACCAAGAAGCCTAAAAGGAACTGGATATGGAACTTTGAAAGGAAGGAACTTTAAAGAGAAAGCAGCTCTATCGAAACGGAATAAAACCCGTTTCCCATCTTTGATCGACGCAGCTGCCTGTTAATGAAGCATGAATGTCTCAGTCTTTAGATGTAAAGACTTAGTTTGAAGAAGCTTACCTCAACTTTCAGCTCTCCAATGAAGTCAGAGAATTTAACAATGTTTGAAACACGAGGATCGTTTGTTGTCTTCAAGTATACATCTTGAAACACAGTGAACACATCTACTCCTGTAAATGTTCTCTGCAGACACAAATCATTCCATTGTTCTTCCTTCTTCTTACATACAAATTACAATCATCTATAAAATAGAGATATGATGATGAATATGTGAAAAAGAACTGACCTGGATTGGAGATGCAGTTCCAGGTCTTGTGGTGAACATTAATCGCCAACGACCTTCGATTAAGTCAGAATCTGTCTAAACATTTTGAAAACATTCCCCAAAAGACAACCAAATGAGTCAAAGAACAAAAGATAACAAAATTTTATAATTTTGAAGATGAAGGGTTCACAAGAAAACATTCGTACAGGATTTTGAATTCCCTCTAAACCTTCGAGAACTTTCACAGCAGAATCAACATCCTACAACAGAAAATGTCTCTAATCAGACATAAATCAAGAAACATGTCGGAAAATTAAAGAAAGTAAAAGTTTTTACATACATTGAGCTGTCTAGGAGAAGCAGATTTGCCACGGCCCTGAATTCCGATTAAAGCGTCAATCAATTTCAACTCAGCATCATTAAAAGACGATTGTTGTGTTTGGTCAGTGACAGTAGAGGAAGATGAACAACTAATTCGCAGAGTTCTACAGTTTCTGGACGAATCTAGTCTCTTGCTTGTTGTGTTAAGAAGATTGTATCTCGGAGAAGACGATGAAAGAGAAATCGGCGATGATGGGCATTGACATAAACATGGTAGCGACATCTCTACGGTGTAGAATCTAAGTGCCACCATTGTTGCTGTCTAGTGCTGCTTGTGAAATGTGAAGCTTTTGTTAAAATGATTAAAGTTTTCATTTTTATTGTGTGGTGTACAATAAAGCATGAGACTTGTGAAATATCTTCAAAAATGAAATTAGTGGAAGTAAATTTTCTCAATTAATTAAAATACTATCCTCCCAAAAACCCTTATGCTTCTTCACAAATTGCAAAACCAAAAGCATGAATCTTTGTTTTGATTCTTCACAAATTGCAAAATCAATACCAAAAGCATGAATCTTTGTTTTGATTCTTCACATTCCCTCATCTTTAATCCTTCTTCTACCATTGAAGTAACAGATGAATGATCCAGAGATGATTACAGAACCAAAAAATAAGATCTTTTACAGATGTTGAAGCTCTGTTTTGTGTAAAACTATAAACAAATTCATAGACTTTTGACTCAATTTGCAGGTAGAAGAAGAAGGAATTAGAAAGAATTAGCAACAAGAATAGCTTGTCTACACCTAGCTCTAGCTTGTTCAATCCTCTGACTCAAAGTTTCATCTTTAACAGAAGCTTTAACCATAGCTAAATCCATCTCCATCAACTTCAAAACCCTAAAAAGCTCAGTGACCATTCTCTCTTCAACTTTACCTTCATCTCTCAAAACCTCAGCTTCTTCTCTAGCTCTTTCAGCAACTATCTCACCAGCTTTAGCTAAAAGCTCCTTTGATCCAAACTCTCTCGCCATTAAAGCTTCGAACTTCTCTAAGAAATCCATTATTACATAACCTTTAGGTTTCTCCAAGTTTATCTCTTTTGTTCTTTTCCAACCGATTTCGAAATTTGGTGGCTCTTGTTTCTCGATTCCTCTTTGTGTTCTGTCTCGTATGATCTCTGATCTTCTTCGTTTCTCTATTGGGAATTTCTCTGCGCTTGTTGTGTTGATTGATTCAGGTGCTGGTGTGAGATTGATGAATTGATCCTTTGGCTCTGGTTTTGATGAACATTTCGTTGAGAATTTTGTTGTTCGAAGACCGAAGCTATAGGTTCTTATAGGGACTGTGATGTGAAGATTAGTAGAAGAGAGAGATTGAAGAAGAAATGTAGAAGTGGAAGCCATTGATTTTAAAAGCTTAGACGAAGAGTGTTTAGAGGTTTTTGAGAATTGGAGAAAGGTAAGGCCTTCTCTACTGTTACCAATCGCGTCGTTTAAGTGTTTCAGACAAGAACGTCATGTTGTTTTTTTGTTTATGTTTAAAACGGTGTCGTGTGAAGAAGTAAACGACTCAACGGCTTTGTTTCTGTCTAAAACGGTCGTGTCGTGTGAATAATTTTGTTTTGTTTTTGATTACTACTTAGAAATTGCAGCCTTTTTGCTTGGACAGAAGATTTACCAGAGAGGCAAGTCACTAGAATTATGTTTTAAGGTTGAGATACAAAAAAACATATAAATATGATATTTTATTGAGGTTATGTACCAGTTTCTTCTTTACTTTAGATCACTATTGTTGACATACAATCAACATTTCAGTAGTCATGTTCTAAATTGAAGTAATTGAAAGTCATCAAATATCTTTTGAATATAGATGTGATAAATTAATTAGCTCTAATTGTGGTAACCCGTGGAATGCGAAATCACATTTTCTAATGCGATTACACTTGTATTTTATAGCTTGTTAAAAATAATTAAGCAGTTAAACATATAGTTTTATCATTTTATTCATGCGCAACAAACTTCTTTCTCTCACAATGCTATAGCAACAACATTACATATTAACACTCACATGTACTACTACCTTTCAATTCTTTAACTTGTACTAATGCTATTTTTGTAACAGAAACTATATATTAATGCCAAAAAAACCTCTATCAGACTATTTGTATATCTAACAACACAAGAAGAGAAAGTAAAGCGCAATATACACAAGATCACAATACCCTATAGTGTGTGTAAAATTGGACATAATTAAAGGATACCTCGACATAGAAATATTACTATAAGACGAAGAAAATTAAAAATAGCTTCGTGAATTTTTTTGTTGGTACAGTATATAGTATATACTACTATAGTCTATAGAAGTATGAGACTTGGATTCAATTCAAGCGTTTCACATGATGGAGCATCCTTGAGAGTTCATGTCTTCGTGGCAACAATGTCGTCCACCTCCCCAGCTCTCGTAGACGGGCCTTCCGTAACATTGGTGTTGTTGGGCCTCGTAATACGGCCCACAATGATACGGCTGCCACATCGGCATCGGTTGAGGAGCCGGAGCCGAAACAAAAACAGGAGCCGGAACTGGAGCTGGAGCTGGGGCTGGAGCTGGAGCTGGAGCTGGAGCCAGAGCCTCTTTGAGCTTCTGAGGAGGTTGAGGCTGGGGTTGAGGTGGTTTGGGTGGCTCAAGGATCACGATGGACTTGATAGAACCGTCTCCTTTGTAGCAAAGTTTGTTCATTAGCCTCTCAGGATCATAACAAACCACTTTGATGATGATCGTGTTCGACTTCTCATCAAACAATTCGTCTGTTATTTCTGTGTTTTGGACAAAACAACACATACCACAAAAACCGTATCCATTTATCAAGATAATTCAGACATTTCTCACCCCTCAATATATACTATAATTCAAATGAGCAGAAAATGAAATTAAAGAAAGAAACTCACGAGGGAATTTGCGGAGAGCTTTCTTAACCTTTTTATAGCATTTGGAACAGTTTAGATCCACTTTCAACTTCATCATCACTACTACCTGCGTCATATAATTTGATAATTATTACCTTAATTAGTAACTGTATTACAGGGTAATTAACAGTTAGTTAAAAGGATATTAAGATCTGATAAAAAGAGAAGTAATATGAAAATTCAGATCCAAGAAAAGGGAAATTAGAATTATAAAGTACCTTCTCAGCCATAGCTTGGGAGAATTCTTGAGTCACCAAACAAGTACAAGAACACAAAGTTTTATGTGTATTTGTTGCATGATTCACTATATATAGAAAGTGATATAAAGAGAGACTGAGAACAAGAAAGAAATTTTTATTTTTCTGATATGTCAAAATATCTAATTTTGTATCTAAAATGACGTGTATGATACACGGTTTATCAAAATAATTTCGAAGTTTCTGAAGGTGTGACGCCGACATCGCGTACGTACACAACTGAATAATTACCAAAATGGGCTCACATTAGACGACAGTGCACGACCACAGTTCAAGTGCTTTATAGTGGTCCAATTTCTATAATAGTTTTTGATTATTCTTCTGTGGTGCGAAATAATGAGCCGACATGGATGAAAATTGTTGTAAAAGGACTGCCTGAATTTGATGTTTCCATTAAGACTCTCTACCAATCAACTAAAAAAATCAGTGAGTCGTATATGAAACAAGAAAAGAACAATAGGACGACAAATTGATAGAATCCAATTTCTTATCTGAAAAAAATGAAGAAGATATATAATGCGAACCTTACATACAATCAAACATTTAACTGGTGAAGCGAGAATTAGCACTGGAAAAAGTGTGATAAATCCAAAGCAAGTGGATCAAGGTTAAAAGAGCTCAATAAGATTACAAAATGAAATTGAAAATATGATAGCTCTGATAAAAAGCTTTATAAGCTTTATTATTTAAATGCAAAAAAGAGAGAGGGAAAAAATAATTTATAAACACCAAAAGAAATTGTGGCAACTTTCTAATTTACATTTGTAAATGTCATAGCAAGCATATATATAATCTACTTGCAAGAAAATTCTAAACACATGGACTTTGATATTTTCTTAGAGTTTGTTGACACAAGCCCAATACAATGCCAACAAACTTAAGAAAACATTTTTTTAATGATCTTGGATCAAACTTATTCTGTATATAGGGCCTGAGAAGATGTAGAAACAAAAATCTTCAAGGATGTATGAACATTTGGTTTCCCAAGTAAGGATTGAGAGATTTCAGAAGGTGTTTTAAATTTGATATTTAAATTAATTTGTAAATTTAAACAAAATTTTATTTTTTTGATTATTTTAAAATTTTATGTTGTTCGAACACATTCATTTTTTTGTGTCAAAATTGCGTAACTAGTGGTATTCAATCACTAATTTTACATTTCTTGTCATAAGATAAGATGTTATTAGGATTTTAAACATTGTCTTCTTTTTGCCTAATTGATCATCTTTTCGTATTAGTCTTTTTAAAACATGAATCTTCGTCGTCTTGAGAGTTTTTGTCTTTTCTAACAGGGTAGAAAAATTCTTCAGGGTTACATATTGTGGTGACTCTAACTCGGTGTTTGATCTTATGCATTTCTAAGATCTTAATCATAGAGATTAGAGACACCAACTATTTGATAAGATTACCATTTTATGTAATTTCTCTTTTATGTATGTCCACAGGGAAGCGAAAACACTTATGTATTTAATCAACTTCAAGTTTGCCCACAAAACACAAATCTTTTTTTCTTTTTTTTTTGAATACGAAAATAGGCTAACATATAAACACTTAAGTGTGTCCAAGTGTTTTATAAGATTTAAGAAGAAAAAAACAAATAAAAAATTGGAGACACAACAATGAGTTTCTCGGTGGTCTTGTTCCACAATCCTCACTCTGCAATAACAAGAACAACCATCTTCACAATCTCATCATCATCATCATCTTTCAGACCAAGAAGAAATCTTTCTTCATCTAATCGTATCTTCCCCACCAATCAACCTAAACCCTTAGTCAAAAAACTTCAAATCATCGAAACCCTAGCCGCCAGAGACACAATCATAGACTTCGGCAAACACAAGGGCAAAATGCTTGGTACTTTACCTTCTTCTTATCTCAAATGGGTCTCAAAGAATCTCCGTGCAGGAGATTCTGAGTATTGGGCAAAGCTTGCTGATGAAGTGCTCGAAGACGATGTTTATAAAGATAGGACAGAGTGGGAAGTTGCAGAGAAAATCCTCCATGGAAGTGATGAGAGCATGAGGGCTTTAACTTCTGTAAAGAAGAGTAGAGAAGAGGTAAACTCTGTTTCGATGTTGTTGGAGATAAGTGAGAGATTTGGTTGGGATAATGAAGATAAGATTGGTTGGAGCAAAATCAATTTCGAGCTTTTGGGGACAAGTAAAGGTGGTCGGATTCCTAGGTTAAGGAAGATGAACGAAGAAGAAGAAGAAGAAGAAGAGAGAGGAGAGATCGTAAGAAGAAGAGAGATTAAGAAGAAGGAAGAAGAAGAAGATGAGAATGGATGGAGGAGAAGACAGAGGAGAGAAAGGATGAGACAGAGTCTTGGGAGAGATGATGGCAAAACGGTGAATAGGACTGAGCAGAAGGGTGTTTTGGGAAAGCTAGAAGAAGTAGAGAAGAAACTTGAGCCAAAGATTCAAAGTCCTTTTCCTGGTCGTGAGAGTCTGTTGAAGAAAGTCATGAACAGAAGAAGGTCTCAATGAAAACGTTTCTTTTGATTGAGTTTAACATTTCATTTGGACTTTTTGCACAATGAGATTAGAATTTTAGTGCAAGCTTATTTCCATTTTTACATTTTAAGTTGCATCGGATTATGTCTCCAATCACAGAATGTGATAATCATTACATCAGAAAAAAGCACCTGAACCGTCAATAGTAGAGAGAGGCAGCAGCTTTAAGCAACCGGAGGACGAAGGACATGGTCCTGTGAAGTATCAACAGCAGCAGGTGGCATGAATTGCCACATTGCAAAGCCGGGGTAAGTTGTGAAAGGGACAAGCTTGCTTCCAGGAGCTTGAGCTTGAGAAAGTGTTGGCGGATTTGGTAAGAAACAAGATTGAGGCTGAGGCTGTGTCTTAATCGCTTTCAGCTGCTGATCGATTCTCTCCTTCTCGATCTTCAGCTTTTGTTTCTCATCACGCAGCTCGTTCTTCTCATCCTACATATCGGCATATACATAGGATCAGTGGACAATCTAATGATCTTACAATGGCTACAGGGCTGAGCTTTCGAGTTCTTTTTACCTTCAACTCCTTGATTTTCTCCTGGAGGCTTGAATTCAAGTCCTTTAGTTTCTGTGCTTCTTCTCTGGCTTGATTCACCATGCGAATAGCATCATTGATAATAGCAACCTTGTCTGTTTTTGGAGCTCTCCCAGGTTCCAATATGGAACTCAATTCCGTAAATCTATTGTCAAAGTACCATACCAAAAGATTAAGAACTCAAAAGGTAAATGATAAAAGAGAACGAAGAGAAAGCAAGAAAATACTTGTCATTTAGTCTATCACGTCTCTGTTTCTCCCTACAAGCTTTCGAGTTAGAACCAGCGCAAGATTCAGTTTTGATCCTGAAGCAATGAGAACATTGGGAAAAAGTAAACTTAAACAGGCTCAAAATTAATCTAACTTGGATAGCAAGAACCAAAAGTTATTAGTTAAAGCAGGTTTGACCAATAGCTTTTGATACCTCTTCCTTGAGCCTGGTTCTTTGATCACATCTGAATCACAAAGGAAGCCATCAACTTCAACACTGTGAACAGATAACACCAACAAAAGAGGAAGGATCAACTACAAAGATTATAGGCAATTTGTAGAAATTTAGAGTAGAAGCAGATATCTAGATTCGTCTACTTCATAAGGAAACAGAGGAATGGAAGCAAAACAGAGAGAAAAAGCATTATACTATTCTCAATTCTTTTGTCCTACAATTTCTATCACAACAAAGACCATTTAATAACAATCTGACTCTGAATAAAAACTTCTCCAGATACTACTAACAGAACCTTCCTATCGCAAATTGTATAAATCTAGAATAGAAGTAGGGAGATTTAGATTCGTCTATTTCTTTAGGAAACAGAGGAATGGAAGCAAAACAGAGACAAAAAAGCTTGTATCATGCAGGAGTCCGATGTCAATCACAACAAGACCATCTAAAAACCAACAGAGTGATCATACATCCTTAAAAACTTCTCCAGATACTACTACCAACCCTAAATCACCAAAAGTCCAAAGCCAAGAAACAAAACCCAGACTCCAGAGATCCTTGAAGGCAAAAACTAAATCCAAATGATTAAAAAAGATACCTGACAGTAGCTGAAGCATCGATCTGCCAAGGGAAGGTAGGATTCTGATCAGAAAAAGCACCATCAATCAAAGGGTAATCACTAAGCCAGTTCGTGTTCTCCGGAGATACCATTCTCCTAATTCCCGGTGGCTACTGAAATTCGGAAACTTTCAAATAAAGGGGTCAAATCTGAAAAAGAGAAAGGGAGAGACAAAGTGTGGAAAAACGGAAGAAAAAAGAGATATGGTTAGTGGGAGAGATAGATCCATTTCTCTCAATCGGTTTCTATTATATATTCTTGATCTCTCATTTTCATTGGCCCACCAATCATTATCAATCCTTCAGATCTCTTATAAAAATAATGTCATAGTTGCTCAATTATACACCTCTCATGATGTCATACACAATAGCTTTCCCAAATTTTTAACTCAAAAATCCATTCTTTATGTCAACCAGTCAAATTTAAAAAAAAAAAAAACAAATCTTTAGTGATTTAAAAGATTGGCATATGAAATTGAAGCCCTAGAAAAAGTCTGAATCTTGATTCCATAAGAAACTGAAGCATATGAACATTCAATTCAAAAAAGAAAACACAAAAGATAGATTCTTCTTCTTCACCATAGATCTAATCTAAATTACTTAGAAAGCCGTAAAAACTAAAAACATAAAGCAGATTTGGTTGACTTAATCAATCATCTTCAGCAGATGGCTTGGAAGCACCAGTCTTCTTAGGAAGAAGAAGATTGTGAATGTTAGGCATCACACCACCATTAGCAATAGTCACATCTCCAAGCAATTTGCTTAATTCTTCATCGTTCCTCACCGCCAATTGAATATGCCTTGGAACAATCCTCGTCTTCTTGTTATCTCTCGCTGCGTTTCCAGCCAATTCCAATACCTAAATTTCAAATTTTCCCCCAAATCAGTCTAAACTAGGGTTTATAAAAATTGAACTACAAGATCGAAACTTTGAAGGATAGAGAAGAGAAATTACCTCGGCGGCGAGGTATTCAAGAACGGCGGCTAAGTAAACCGGAGCTCCGGCACCAACACGTTCGGCGTATTTGCCTTTCTTCAAGAAACGAGCGATACGACCCACCGGGAATTGAAGACCGGCTTTGCTGCTTCTTGTTGTTGCCTTCTTCGCAGATCCAGATCCGAGAGTTTTGCCACGACCCGCCATTGAAATCGATTCGAATTCTTTTGTGAAAAGATGAGAGGGAAAAAGTTGTACGAATTGAATTGTTGTGTAGAACTCTTGATCTTCTCCAGAGTTTATATACTGTTTTGAATTCGCCTAAACCAATAAGAAGAAAGTACGCGGATCGGTATTTATCACCGTTAGATTATATCATAATCAACGGTGGATAATTCGAGATTCAGGATCCGCGTATGTGCGAATTACTAAAATACCCTTTTTGCCTTTTTACAGTTTTTTGTTTTTCTTTTTCGTCCCCAAGCTTTTACATTTTACTAAAGAGCCCAATTTCAAAAAATTGAATCAGGGTTCTTTCGGAATCATTAATCATAACGTAATAAAGAGCTAAAATTGGGTTTCCAAAGAAAAAAAAAACGATTTTTTCGAAATCGAAAATTGTGAAATTTGTGTGTGAAGATTTGAAAAAGTCCTCTTTTTTATTCATCGAGTTACAAAGTTTTTAATACAAAGACAGGACATAGTTCCTGAATTGTCTGTTTTTCAAATCTATTTCTCGGATTTTTTTGTTATGAAACGAGGAAATTTCGAATCTCCCTCAAGTTCTGATCTTCCTTCTTCATCAAGATTCAAACTAAATCCCGAAGGTTTTTGTTCCCGCTTCATTCCTTTTTGATTTTCATAATTCGAGTTCTTCATTGGATTTTGATTATGATATGAATTGTCGTGGTTTGTAATTTGCTTTCTCAATCAAACTTAAAGTTTCAATCTTTTTATATCTGAGAGTTGTGTGAAATGTGTATTTCTGGTTTATCATCAGGTGATTCTGAGTTTTTAAAAGATGATGATAGCACCAAGAATTTTGCTCGTAAGGTCGCTGATCATTACAGTAGAAGAACAAATCAAACTTTAGAAGAAAGAGAATCAAGTCCTATCATTCATTTAAAAAAACTTAATAATTGGGTTAGTTACTTAGTTAATGACTGTTCTTTATCGCCACTAATGGAAATTTGTAATCCCATAAGGAGTAATGTATTCATGTCTTTGATTCTTCTTCTTTTTTTGTGGTTGTTGTGTGCAGATTAAAAGTGTGTTGATTCAGCTTTATACTCGTCGTGATGATGCAGTTCTAGACCTTGCTTGTGGGAAGGTTACTTCAGCAAAATGTATTGATTACTCTGGATGTTGTTTTCTTGCTATACACTTACATACTGCTTTGTTATTATGTTAGGGTGGTGATTTGATTAAGTGGGAGAAGGCGATGATCGGGTACTATGTTGGTATCGATATTGCTGAAGGATCGGTCAGTTGAATGTTGAAATGAATGAGTAGCTTCATTTATGTATTTTGTTTAAATTTTCACTGTAAATGACTTGTACAGATTGAAGATTGTCGGACACGTTATAATGGTGATGCGGACCATCATCATCGCCATAGAAAGTATAGTTTCCCAGCCCGTTTATTGTGTGGAGATTGTTTTGAGGTAAATGACCAAGTTGTGTCAAGTAGTTTAGAACTCTGAATAGGATATTTCCAAATGGATGATACGAAAACGCTTTTTAGATCTTTTATGTTCTACAAACATCATTTTCTTGATTTTCAGATTGAGCTTGACAAGATTCTTGAAGAGGATGCTCCTTTTGATATCTGCAGTTGCCAGGTTTTGTATGCTTCAGTTAGCTTGTTTTTTGATCAAGATTCTGAATACTAAGTTGTTTCCCCAAATTACTACGTAAACCTTAATGAGTTAATATATGAAGTTAAGTGTTATCTAAGTAGCTTTTGGTATTGATGTTCATGGTGAAGTTATTATAGATTCTGAATTTACTAAAAGTCAGCAATTTTGATTTGTAGTTTGCTATGCATTACTCTTGGACAACTGAGACCCGTGCTAGACGAGCCTTGTCAAATGTTTCAGCATTACTTCGTCCTGGAGGCATCTTTATTGGAACAATGCCAGACGCCAATGTTATCATAAAAAAGCTTCGAGAAGGTTTCTTTTTTCCCCCACAAGCTAGTGTAAATTGTTTCTTCATTTTTAACCATGATCTTGCAAACTTGTACTCTTCAGACCTTTTCTTGTTCTGAATATGCAGCTGAAGGTCTGGAGATTGGTAATAGTGTATACTGGATTCGTTTTGGTGAAGAGTATTCTCAAAAGGTTACTGTTTTTTTTTGTTTCCCTACCTTCAGAATTTTAATACCTGAAGTCCTGTTTCGGTTTCTGATGACGATTCTTGTTACAATGATTCAGAAGTTTAAAGCTAGCAGCCCCTTTGGTATCAAGTATGTATTTCATCTTGAGGTACTAAAATTAATCTACTATGCATGAGTTCCCTTATCTTCTCCTGCCTAATTTAGCTGCTTTCAAAGAATGGATATATTGTTGTAGTAAGTATGATACAACATTTTGTAATGTAGGATGCCGTTGATTGTCCTGAATGGATTGTGCCATTTCACGTCTTCAAATCCTTAGCAGAAGAGGTAGCTTGTGCCTTTTTACAGTCTTGTTCTATGAAAACAATCCAATTGTAGACAAAAGTCTTCTAAATTGGAAACCGTAGCATATTCAACTTGATGATGTGTCTCATTGTTTGTCTTATGAAACTTTGGCAGTATGATTTAGAGCTGGTATTAGTGAAGAACTTTCATGAGTTTGTGCACGAGTACATGCAAAAACCTGAGTTTTTGGAGCTCATGCGAAAGCTTGGTGCTTTAGGTGATGGTAATCGAAACAAAAGTAAGTCTCGTTTCTTATTCTGTATCCGCACCATCATCTTCAGTTTGTTTCTAGCAAAAATTGATAATATTAGTAATACACCAAACTGATATATTTTTGAAGGCACACTATCAGCGGATGAATGGGAAGCCGCGTATCTCTACCTCTCTTTTGTGTTTAGAAAGGTTTTTTGGGTCTCATTTCACATACTTCAGTTTCTATTTGTGTCTGCACAGACTAAGTTTTCCTTACTCATTTGTTTTTTTTTTAACTGGATGACTTTACAGAGAGGACAATCTGATAGGGCTGGAACAAGAACTGCAGGAAGGAATAACAATGGGAAAATGAACATATCGAAAGACGATATTTTGTATATTAACAACGAGGTTTAAGTCAGAGTGTCCACAACAATGTCCCTTTTGGATTTGTCTTGAGTTTTTATTGTTAAGAGTCTTGGAAAATGCTACTTTTCTTGTAGCGTAGCCAGTTTTTTTTTTTTTTTTTACCAATTGTAATAGAAAACGCTTTATTTCCAATTTCCCCAAATCTTTTAGGGAAAAATGTCATTTAATAGCCCAACTTTCAAATTGTGGCTATTTGCCACACAACTTCATAAATGGCAAATTTAAACATGACAAATACGTTGACTTCCATTTAGCACATTACAAAATCGTTGACCACGCCAAAACACCAAGCCGTTAACAGATCCGCTAACACCCGTTACCACCCGTTAACACCTCCGTTAAAGCCCAAAACGGCGTCGTTTAGAGCTTAAGCGAAACTTCTAAAAGCTGAAGAATCCCCAATTCTGAGAAATCCCCATTTCAATTTCAAACCCTAAAATTTTCAATTCTCAGCAATTCGCAGCATTATCTTCCTTTTGAGCTCGAAATCTTGTTTTTTTCATCGAATTCTCCAATTCTACCAGAGATATGAGTTGCAATTCGTGTGTTCAAGATGGAGGTTGCGAGTTCCGCGGCTTTCCTTCGAAGTGTCACTGCGGCTTAGATGTTGTCATTCTCACATCGAAGACGAAGCAGAACCCAGGGAGACCGTTCTTCCGTTGTCCAACCTTAAATAATGTAAGTAGATTTGATTTAGTGTTTTTTTGGTTTGGTCGCTAATACATTTTCAACGTGATCGCAGGACCATTTGTTTAAATGGGTTGAAGATTGTGTCTACGAAGAGGTTGTAGACGCTAAGCCGAAAATCTCCAGCATTGACAATGAAATAAACAATGCCAAATGTGAGGTTTCAATCGAGATTGCAGAGTTAAAGTGTATGATCAATGAATTGAAGGAAGATGGAACGTGGAGCAAAAGAGAAATTAAGAGAATCAAATTGTGGTTGGTCTGCATTTGTTTAACTGTCACTGCAATTGTTCTCCTAATGTTGTATACTTCCAAAAACCAGAAACTTATTCTAGGTTACTAGTTTCTTTGTTATTTGGTATGTGTTTTAGTTGTTTGGTCTTTGTGTTTATCTTTTGTTCATGTTGTGTCTTGCTGTAATGAAATGCTAGTTTGGCTTCTCTATCTAATTCGCCTTGCATTGCAGCTTCAACTACAGACCCAATCCTCGATACGAATTCACGATTTGCTAGTTCATCAGAGAATCTCGATTTCGATAAAATTAGGGATTTGATTTTTATGATTTGGGGATTTCGATTTGGGGGGAAAATCGATTACACCTAAATGCTGTCGTTTTTGCACAGTAACGGAGTTATTAACAGAAGTTAACGGGTGGTAACGGGTGTTAGCGGATCTGTTAATGGCTTGGTGTTTTGGCGTGGTCAACGATTTTGTAATGTGCTAAATGGAAGTCAACGTATTTGTCATGTTTAAATTGGCCATTTATGAAGTTGGTGTGGCAAATGGCCACAATTTGAAAGTTGGGCTATTAAATGACATTTTTCCCCAATCTTTTATAATCATGTTCATGTGGTTTCTTGTTTTATTTTTTCTTGTTTATGTTACATCCAAAAAACCATTAATTGATCATTAAACAATCACCTTTAATTGTTGTAAAGAAACATATGACAGTTTCTTACATACTATTTTTCATATGTTAAAATCAGAGCATAGAACAAAACAACAAAAATTTTCTGATGTGCACGAAGAGAATGTTATCGAATCCTTGAACTATTTTTATCTTCTTATTTGTGTACCTACAAACACATCTCTATGTATTAGTATAAACATCAATACATCATGATCCGTTATAAATCATAAATATTTATATATATAAGTAAATTTTCACTCTCTTCTTATTTCCAATTAAACAAAAAATAACACATTTAATCATATACAATTAACTCACAATTTATTATAAAATTGAAACCATAAAAAAATATGCATTAATTATAATTCTCCACTCAATTTTATTTAATACACAATAAATTAATATTGTAATTCCCAAATTTTTTTTTTATTGTAACTCCCATCACTTTTTATCCTATAAATACTCATTTTATCATTCTCTCATTCTCTTCCACTATATTTCAAATCTTAAATATACTAGTTGAATTCTCACGCTACGCGTGAGTTTGTTTTGAAAATTGTTAAGATAAAAATATGTTAATTATTTTTGTCACTGATTTATATTTATTTTTTGTTTGTTATTGTATAGTTAATAAAATTAGACTCATCTTATGTATTTACAATTTTTATTGTTAGATTCGTTTTTGACTCTAAATATCAATTTATACATTTTCATGTATAATCTGATTATTTTTATATCTAAGATTCTAATATTTGTTCACTATCATGAATACACACAACAAGAATATAAGATATTTTGATCTCAAGAGTTTTCTATGAAAAAAAAGAAAAAGAAAGTAAAAATTAAAGAGTTATTTAAGTAACACTTTTAGATTTTATGCTATTGCATATAGCCATATAAGAGAAATGAATTTGTCTTGAATTCCGTAGTATGTCTAACGTCTCAAAAACTCATTACTTGAAAAAATTTGCATGTCATGTTACGAACTTACCATAAGACACAAAAATGAAAAGAGAGAGCAACTTCTTCTTTTTGCACATTTCCAAAACAAGTATAAAACACGTCTTAGATCGTCCTAAAAATGAAAAAGAAACTGTCAACTGAAAAGTACAAAAAATTTTAATGACCTATACCAAAAGAAAGTAGTGTTTTCTTACCATGTGAATTCCCTCAAATCTTTCAACAAAGAGTGGCAAAAGTTGGGGATCAAGATCTGCAATGGCCGTTAGCACTGGCGCTGCAAAGAGAATTGAAGGCTTAAACTTCGTGAATTTGGCATCTGCAACACAACATTAAACAAAAACAATTAAAAAACACAGACAGATTCATGATTTATGTGTCTTTAAGGTCTTAAATCACAAAAAGAGACTAACCCTCCCGTTTTGCCAGCTGTTATAGGTAACTGACCTTCAAGACACTGACTAAAATAAATTAAAATTAAAATCTACAAATTTTACACGATAAAATCTACAAATTGTAAATAAAACATAGATAAACAATGACAAGTACAAAAAAAGTACATCCTAATTTTCATTTTACAATAGTAAATAGAAATGCAAATCTTTAATACAAAACTGAGTTACACAAACACACAGTTTAGTAAATTGTTTTAGTCTACAATAATCGCTAATATAAAGCACAATAATTAGCAATAGTTAATAAGGATGAAATCCATAAAGACATGTTGTTATACAATAGAAAAATCACGAATAAAGTAGAGCTAAAACAAAATATGAGTCTTCGATTGTTTTGATGCAAAGAAAATATAAACGAAATGGACTTAAGGATTAAAAACTTATGAATTAAAAGCGTGATGCATTAAGACAATTCGGAGAGAAACAATAATTGTAGAACATATACTTGAACAAGGAATCAGATTAAAAATCGATTTATAACTCAAAACACGGATTTATTGCTAATTAACATAAAGTCGTGGAATTGACTACTATGCTTACAGACCTAAACTTATAAATTGTCGTTTAAATTCAGAAAGTTAAAACACATAGTTTGATTTATGTTCACAAAACCTCCTGACATCAACTGCTTTTGTTGCTCATCTATGTTCATCCATGCAACTTAACTATATATTTTGATGAGTAAATTAACCTAAGATCGTAAACGAGGTAATCAGGCAAGTTTGAGCATTGAGAAAGACAATAGATGAAAAAAAAATCATTTAGATAAATCTTTATTTTAACAATCTTAATCTAGCAATCCATGAATTCTCTTTGAAACCCTAAAACCTAACTAGGACAATACGATTGCATAATTAAAAATTTTAGATTAAAACATTAGTTTAATATCTTCTTTAGAGATTTAGAATTAGAGGTTCGTCTCTTAGTTACATAAACCGCAAATTTTGAAACATAAAACAAAATTACAATATATGTAGTTACATAATTCAAATGCACGCAAGTTTAAGCTTCTTTTTTTTTTTCCGACATCAACACCCAAGTTTATATGCTAGTGTGCGTTGCTTTGTATTGTTCTATAAAGTCTCAATATGAAGTATAAGAACCTAATAGCTAGCGGTTGCTAGTCTAGTTGTAACATCCTCACTTTTTGCTATGATTTCCAATGGCGGTGCAGGTGGGATTGGAACCGGTTGTGGCATTTCTGCTGCAACCGAAGGCTGTGTGATTCTTGGGGCATGCTTATTGAAATCATCAAGTACTCTCTGCTGATTGGCTTTCGTAAGACCCTGCAACATCAAATAAGTTACACCTTTCTTTAAGGACCTAGTACATTAAGATACCTGTTTTGGCTGAAAATAAGAGAGGATTTTCCAGACAGTGAAGAGAATGTCACTGGAGGAGGACGTTAGCGTGAGATTAATCAAGTATGAAAATGGATTTAGAATGCCAAAATTGCCTTAAGGTCTAAGATGCGCTGAAGCTTCATGTGTGTTCCTTTTGGAAACAGTTCACTATATGTGTCTACCACTGAATCGATCGGGGAGAGTATGACCTATAGTACGATGATATCAGTTTTCGTAGAGGTAGAAAAAGGAAAGTTGTCTCGATGGTGCTCAGGCGAAAACCTTTAGGACTGCTTCAGCTCTGCTCATTTGACGCTTCACGAATTCCGAATAGCTCGCAGCACTTACGGTCTGCAATGCCATTTCCAAAACTAAAAAAATGTGACCGGCTTTGGATTCATAGAGTACCAAAAATGCTTTATAACTTTGGCCAAGAATACCCAATGCTTCATGGTTAACAACGATAGACAAGGTTTAATCTTAAAAACAGAGTCCCCAACAGAGGGACTGATACATAAACTTGGAACTGATGAGCTAACCTGTCTGTCAAGAGATGGAACTTTTAAAAGAATCATCTCCATTGCTTGCGTATCTAGCAACATCTGTGAAACCAAAAGACAGAGAAATATATAAATGTTTGAGTAGCTCTAGTCTTTGCATATACCTTATAAACTAGCTAGGTCCTTTTTTCATTTGGAAAAAATCACAACACATGCAAATCGAGGAACATAAAGTACGCAGGCTAACCTGCTGAGCTCCAGTTTCTGATATTTTCTTGCATCTGAAAATATTAGCATAGAACCGTAGTCCAAGGGATGATGCCAACTACACAAAAGATTTTTAAAGTAAGCCAAGGCTTAATCGCGTAACCTGTCACTAGTAATAGCTTTAGAGGCCTTGACTGGTGTTATAAAGTCATTCAAATTTTACTATAAAATTACCTTTTCCAGGAAGAATTGGAAGTAGACTGGTGCTAGAAGTTTCCCAAGGACAGGAAAACTGTTGTTAAGGATTGTATATATTCCATTTACGTACCTACAAGAAAGGTACAGATTTCAAAGGTGTTGGTTGTCTATTGGTCATACTGGTTGTCTATAGAAGCTTTAAACCTCAGTTAGATCTTACTGAGAATGGTCACCAACACTCTCAAGTGTGCCCCATGAAACACATGCCATCTCTTGCATTTCTGTGTCAAATTTAGTTTCCAGTCCACGGACTAGTGTCATCAATGCCTTCGTTATGACGCACGATAATTTATCCTGCACAGTACCACAGTTTTTAAGAAAAAATCCAAAATACATAATATATCTGAGAAAAATTATAAGTCCTTCATGTCAATAGTACCTGGACCTCTGACATGTCTACACCGTCTGCATAAAGCGGGTCAATAATTGTCGAGACTTCTTCTGCCAAATCACCAGACTGCAAAAACAATAAAACAATCCTTGTGAAGTGCCAAGTTGTTTGTTGTTCAATTAAGCAGTAAGTAGTCAAACAAGCTTACTGTTTTGCGGCAATACTCAGCAGAATTAACTATGTAACATATCAACCTTTCATCTATCCCCGAGACCTGCATAGGGGTATTAAAAAAGAGCTTAACAACATCGAAAAGCACATATGGGAAACAGAAAGCAGTGCACAGCACCTCTATCTGTTTACGAGTGCCTCCTTTGGAGAGCTTAAAAAATAGCTTTGTAGCATAGGCTTGTAGAACTCGTTGAAAGACCTGTAAAGAGGAAAGCCTTTCATTAGAAGAAACTCAAAATCTCCATCTATCTTATTTTGTTCTACTATAGTATATGCATATCACTATATTGGTACCTTGAATAAATTGAATAAAGTCAGGTTCTTAGTCAGAGCTTTACACTTGTCATAGCTTTTCTTTATAGCCAAAAACAACTGCAAACAAGGCAATTATAAATTATACTTCACAAGTAAAAACTATCACATAACTCTACTTAAAGAAGCTTGCCTAGGTACTCACCTCTCTACTGCTAGATAAAATATTATTTAGATTTTCCTCATCAGTATCCCATGTTTCCTCCTGACAGAAAGAAAAATGAATATTAAGAAAACTTGATAAGCTTCGATGAAAACGCTTTCTTTAGGCAAATATAACAAATTACCTGAACAACTCTTTCCAGGCATTGCATTAGTTCCTCCTCAATATATTTGGTTAAATGAGGCTCGAAGCAAGAAGAGATAATTCCACGGAAGTTAAACTGCCAGGTCAAGTAACTATAAAATTTCAGAATTAAGTCTTAGAAAAATTACTAGCGTTTTAAAATATAATAGTAAGTACACAGAACATACAGTTTCCACCAAGTCGTGATTAGCACCAAACTTCATGTGAATTTCGGATACATTCCGACTATAACTTTCCCCGTCAACAGTTTCCTCAATGTCATCTCCAATATGCTTAGTAGGAACACCACCAAATTTCATTTCAAGTTCCAGTTCAAACTTTAGCGTCCTTTCCAGTTCCTAATCATTCAATGACATCAAACTTTACTAGAGACCTGAGACATTCCACTATTGCTAGTAGAGATAATACGATAACATAATCAAAAGAAACAAGATTTGATGAAAGAGAAAAGGAGGGACACGATAGAAGAATTCATAATCATCACCAATTTTCCTTGAAAGGTAAGAAAACTATCATATAGAAACACAATCCATCTAGTAAATATAATGAAATTTTCATGTCAGGGCAAGCGTGCCTGACCTGAAGCAATCTCGCTACAGCAGCTGGCTTTCCTTTCATGTTGACCAGAATAGATTCTACTTGGCCCCTGAAAATAAATAATGGAAAGACAGGAGGCTGCATACAGTTAGATAATGATTAAATTTTCACAGAAAAATGACCAAAATCAGTAAAAGATTAGAGATACAAACCAAAAGAAAGGTACACAGAACATGTCATAAATTTTCTGAAGACACCAAGAAAAAAGAATATGAATCCCCGAGAGACCAGTTCAACAAAACTCAGAAGTTACTACCTTGTTATCTTGCAGATCTTGATGCACAGTCCATAAGGCACATGCCACAAAGCAGGAAAAATCTTCCAGATTTCTTGATTTGTTCGGATATGACAATGTATCTGATTGTATATCCGCTGTATTTCATCCAAATTTGTCAATTCTGCCGACAATGAAACACTTAAAAATTACAACAAAGATAAAACCTATAAAAAACCTAGGGATATATTAAGTCTAACATACCAGCTTCTATAATTTTTTGTTCATATGAGCTTAGATCCTTGCTGCAAAAGTTGTTTACCAACTCTTCCCTCACAGATGGCTCCAACGCATCGACAACCAAGCAAGCATCAGATAACTTCTTTAGTAAAGACATTTCCTCTGTCTCTTTCCCAGTAGCTAGACTGATATCACAACAGTAGACATTATTGGAACAAGGAAGGCAGTAGAGGATGCGAGAGGGGGAATTGAGAGATTAGTGAAACATCTTAAGACAATTTGTGGTTTACAACAACATGAAGCAGAAAATAGTCTATATGATTATGCAAGTACTATTTTAACAAAACAAGAGCAGCCAATAAAAAAGGCCTCCATTTATATACCAAGAGTGCAAAATCATCACCTTAGTACCAACAGTTAAAACATACGAACATTACAGTGAATATCTTTTTACCACCTCTGTGGACTTACTTAAGTATGTAAAATATGGTAGACTCACTAAAGGCAGTACCTGGAAAAATCAGAAAATACATGAGACTTAAGAATTTGCTTTATATTCTCAAGCTTTACTCTGACATCCGTTATGCTAGGAACATCCCAATTCCTTTTGAAATGATTCACTAATTGGTTTACGGCCTGAAAAAACATGATAGGGTCAGAAAATGAGAAGAGTAATGTGCTAGAAAATCCACCTAACATCAAAAATTGATTTTCAAAATGGCAAAGAACTGACTTGGGCTCCCATGGTGAACATAAAACTAAAGCAAGTGAACTACGACCAACTTAAACGTAACCAACAAACGCCAAAGTTTGTTTAACTAAAAAAAGGTACCTCGAGCTGCGCAGCTGCCTCCTTGTATTGCCTATTTGACGCCATCCCCTGAAGTTGTACAACAGCAGAGACTGCCATAGTGTGGTTGTGAGTGTCATTAATGAGCTTCTAAATATATTAAGTTACTACATAAACAAAATAAATACATTCACTAATAGGTTAACAAGCAACTTCATGTAGCCTAACTTGGAACCCCTAATTATATAGGGTTTGTTTGTAATACAGTTCAATACTGTTGGCTATCATTCAGATTTCAGCATACCATGACCCGATATAGTTGAATGGAGTGATTATTGATAACTTACCTAGCATTGTGAGGTTATGGAGGGGAGTGATTACGGTGGTTATGTTCTTCTTTGCAAAATCTAACTTCTTAATGTCACCGCATATTTCTTGGATCATTGCTTCATCTTTCTCAGCTTTAGAATTCATCTCTTGAATATTACGAGAGAGTTCCTGAGTTAAAAAGACAAGAGTGATAAGAGAATGAAAGAAGGAAACGATATTTTGAAAGTAGGCATACATACAATACATATATATCAACCTATGAGAAACTAACCCGTGCAGCAAGTGTAGCATTAGCAAGATCTTCTTTAGCTTTATTTACCGAGTTACGCTGGAGTAATGATAGCCAGACCCAAGGAAAAGATTCAGAAGCACATAGAAGCAACATTATTCTTTTTCATAGTGCATACAATACAACGATTTACATAAGGTATATAACCTCACATAAATAAGCGACCAGGAAGAAAAAGTAAAACAAAGCTTACCTGTTGACGAATAGCAGCAAGTAGAGTAGCATCCACCCGCCGAAGTTCACTGTTAATCTTTTGAGAAAGTTCCTATGTTTATAAAGAATATAAAGGTTTACGAATGAAATGAAAAAGACAGATTGATAAGATATTTTGACAATACGAATACAACACATATCAAGCTATGAGAAACTAACCTCCGCAGCACATGTAGCATCATCAAGATCCTCAGTTGTTCCCAAGTCACTCTGGGAGACCAAAAATAAGTTTCAGATGTATACATTATTTTTTGAACACAGAGGCAAAGTTCTTCTTTTTCCTTAGTCATACAATATAATTCTTGTAAAGTAAAAACATTATAATCCTCACATAAATTCAAGAAAACGACCTGTGGACGAACATCAGCTAGTATGGTAGCATCAATCCGTTGCATCTCATGATGAATCTTTTGCATTAGTGGCTTAAGTCCAAGTAGATATGTTTCTATAAGAGAAAACACCAATTCTGAGAAACTCACTTATCAGAGTTAAAATCACGAAATCAACAAAGAATTACCTGCCGGGAACATCTGGTTGATAAAATCTAAACCACTCGAAAATGGCGATCTGCATAACAAAGGGGCAAAAGATCAACAACGTGTCCACAGAATCTATAAAAACTCAAAATTTTCGGAAAAATACTAAGAAGAAGAAAGCGAGGTACGAACTTGTCCACTAAACTTCCAACCAGTTTTCCCACAAATGTTTTTTCTTTAGGACCAGGAAAGCCAAAAAATTTAAATACAGTAAATCTCTATAAATTAATGATATTTTATCAATTTAATGATATTACTTAATTTTTATTTATTAGTTTATAGAAAATTTATTTTAATGGTTAATAGCCTAGGAAAAATATGAATTAAAAGAATTTTATCTAAATAAAATTAATGTTTTGGATGTTATAAATTTTGTTGTTTTTAATTTGAAATTTAATGTTATAAATATAATAAAATAAAAATTATTTTGACAACAAATAACAAATATTATTAGATGAATTCACTTATATAAATGATATATATAAATTCAAATTTTTTATTAATGACCTCAATTGTTGTATTTTAGCACATAAAAACAAAAAAAAAAGAAATATGTTTTCCCCCGAAACTATCCAGACTTGTGAAGAATTGAATCCATCTCTACTCCGATCGATAAAACATGATCATCATTCTTGATTATAAGACCTAATTTCACCCATCAAATACCAAAAGCAGAGCATAAATGAATACTAACATGACCAAAATGTTTGTCATCAGCAAGTTATTTATGTTCAACGTGTCAATCACACGAGTACAAAAGAAGAAACTTCAAAAAAAGAAAACAAATCTCACACAAAATAAAGAGTTTATGCCATTGAAGAAGATTCAGACGATCAAATTAGAATTATACCAAAAGCACAGAAAGAAGATTACGACCGGAATACAACAAAAAAAGGATCATAGTTATAAGAGCATCTACATCGCTAGTGTCTCAACAGATTTTTTATGATTTAAATAATAGAAAATAATAAAAAAGCAGGAAAGAGAATGAAATACGTTTCTAAACTATGAGAAACCCATTTAACATATAACTTTATTTTGATTGGCCAATATTTTTAATTATCATTTAAAATATAAATAAATAATCAAAATGATTAAAATATTATAAATAAGAAACTAGAAAGGTATATGAGCGTTGGAGATGCTCTAACAATTCTTATTTGAGAGCAAGAAGTTTGGCTTTTTCAATAGCTTCCTCACCAGTCACCTAAAACAAAAGAATGAAAATCTTAGAAAATCATTCGGCCATCGTCTAAATAAATTACTCACGACTCATGGATGATTCAATCCTTTTTTTTAGATCAGATTTTTACCTCTAGATAAAATTAATTCTTTTCAGAGTTTTAGCTATGATACATTCTGTCCAGTATGTATCTCTATATTTTCCCTGATAAAAAAATATGGGCAATTCCCAAAAATACTAAACTTAAGTTTTGCTTTTCCAAAAATACCAAACTTAAGTTTTGATTTTACAAAAATACCACAATTTTCCAAAATACTAATTTAAGGTTTGGTTTTTCAAAATACCACAAAAATAAAATTTAGCTAGGGTTTAAATTTTCGTAGTTAAAGCTTAATTTCAAAAATTTAAACCCTAGTTCAAAACTAAATCCTAAACTTAATAAACCCTATCCTCTATAAACTGTACCGTAAATCTGAAATAGTTAAACTAAATCTAAAAATTTAAATTCTGAACCCTTGAAAATCATTTTTGGTGTTTGTGGTGTTTTTGAAAAACCAAAACTTTGGTAGTATTTTATAACACTAAACTAATAGTGGTATTTTCTGGCAACAAAACTGTGGTATATTGAAGAATTTCTCTAAAAATATTACCAGAATTTCGTATTTATTTTAAAATTTTATAGTTAGTTATATTATTCTAATTAAGAAAGTTATATGCTCATGTTATACCTTAATATAGGGTTTAAATTTTCGTAGTTAAATATTTAAAACTTATCAATGAGACAGGTCATGTTTTGCTTATGGAACGTAGGTAGCTGCATCCACGAATAATATAAATGACCATAACGTTAGCTACTCCCTCTGTTTCACAAAGAGTGTCGTTTTAGAGTTTTGCATACAGATTAAGAAAACATTAAATTTTTTGTTTTTTCTAAACAAAAACATCATTACCTATATACTTAAACACAATCTGCCCAATAGTAAAACAATCTGCAGAATACTAATAGTCATAAAACATAAAAAATCATTAAATTTTGCATTGAAAACCTAAAACGACACTCTTTGTGAAACAAAAATAAAACCTTAAAACGACACTCTTTGTGAAACAGAGGGAGTATATGAGAAGGGACACGGAACAAATCAAACCTCCAACCAATTTCAAAAAATTCAAAATTCTTGTAAAAATAAATTCTACGTAAATTTTAATTAATAAATTGATTATTTTCAGAGATTAGGTATGATACAAAATGTCAGATATGTATTTCTATATTTTCCCTGATAAAAATAATACCAGAATGTCATATGTATTATAAAATGTATAGTTAGTTATATTATTCTAATTAATAAAATTATATGCTCACGTTACGTTGTACCTTAAGATAGGGTTTAAATTTCTTAATTAAATATTTGATACTTATCAATGAGACAAGTCATGTTTTGCTTATGGAACGTAGGTTGCTGCATTCACGAATAATATAAACGACCATAATGTTAGCTAAATGAGAAGGGACACGGAACTTAAACCTCCAGCCAATTTCATAAAATTTAAAATTCTTATAAAATAAATTCTACAAATTTAAATTAAAAATTGAATATTAATTATGGTTAAGGAACATATATTCTCACGCAGACATGTGCAGGTAATGTATAAGAGAAATATGGTGCCGTAAAACTCATATTGTTTCTTTTTTTAATTAAGAATAATTCAAGTTTTGATAATTAGATGTAGTTTTTTATTAGAAAACAAGACAGCGATCGAAGTGGAGAACATGGAGGAGATCAAATTCAGAATAATTAAAATGCAATGCAAATATACGTAACGAGTTAACTTGAATCTCCATGCAAGTCCCATGCACTCAAACCCTTGTATATAAACCCCTCCAAGTTCATCGTTTAATCATCACCAAAATAAGCGGCCCATCAATAAAGAAAATACAAACTCAACCATGGCAATTACAAAAGCTCACTACTCTTTAGCAGTTCTTGTCGTTCTCTTTGTCGTTTCGAGTAGCCAAAAAGTCTGCAATCCAGAATGCAAGGCCAAAGAACCCTTCCACTGCGACAATACTCATGCATTCAACCGAACTGGATTTCCCAAAAATTTCACTTTTGGTGCAGCTACTTCGGCATATCAAGTATATATATCTTGGCTTTTGGGGATCGATTTTTATTGCTATATATAGGATTTTTCATTTTTTTCGTACAATATATATATATCCAACATGACTTAATTTGTTCTACCAGATTGAAGGTGCAGCACATAGAGCACTTAATGGATGGGACTACTTCACTCATAGATATCCAGGTCATAAACATCATTTAACATATTATTTGTTACCATGATCCTCAATGTATGAGAAAAAATGTACCTATATATAGATGTTAAAAGAGTTATTCATGGTCATGTTTTTGTTATTTATATACAGAAAAAGTTCCGGATCGCAGTTCAGGAGACCTTGCGTGTGTTAGAATTTGTGTCCATGATTAAATCTTGTAATATCATATATGTTATAGTTTGTATGTAAAGTCAACGGATGTCATGTGCTACATGTTACTTACTACGAAAGGGTGTGAGTAAGACACGTAACTTGTCGGAAAAGTTACAACTCTTACCAACGGTTACTTAGAGTAGTTAGTTATGTACACATCTATATAAGTGTGTATGTTGTCTTATGTAAAAACTGTCGAGAATAATAAAGAAGTTTTTCCACTTTTCAATTCTTTGTTTTCTCTACCATGCTCTGTATTTGAAGCAATGGCTTCTACAATTATACAAGAGCAAAAACACCAACATGGTATCAGAGCTTTAATGATTCAAGGACCAATCGAAGCATTAAGAGAAGCATAAAAAGAATCTGCAAAAAGGTTCAAGTCAAAACAGAGATCATGGCAAGACGTTGCAGCAAGTGATTCACATGTTTGATGGAGAAACGATGGAATCTGGTGTGTAACAAGATGAAGACCATCTTACTATCGACATAACTGTGGCTGGTGGTGAAAGGTGTTCCTAACAAACTGACGCAATCCGAAGAGACATCCGAAGGGGTGCAATTAAGAAATCAAAGGAAGGAAGCGTCAATGGAGGAATTAAGGACACTGTGAAGCACATGAAGATCATGTCTTTTCACAGAATTAGAACACGTATGAAGGTGTGTTCGGTGCTCGACCAAGAAGAAGGGATTCTGGTTTTAAACCAGAAAATCAATAAAAGTGGTGTGAGGTGTTAAAAACACAATCTCACGGAGGAAGCTACCTGTTTTAAGAAACAGAGCAAGGCTTGTTAGCAAAAAGTGGTGTGGAGTCGTTGAGAATGATGTTCACACGGGGAAGCCGCCTGTTGTAAGAAACAGGGCAAGGCTTAGTGTCAAAAGGTGTTGTTGAGTTGTGAAGAACACTGCAACACGGAGTAAGCTTCTGTTGGGAGAACAGTGCAAGGCTACTCAGCAAAAAGGTTCAAGGGAACCGATGTCGTCAACGAGACGTGGAGAAAGTTTGTTTTAAAAAGTAAGAAACAAACGTAGCGACAAAAGTCAAAATAAAGCCGAGAAATGGTGTGACTTTTGTACGTGTGACAATCACAATGGGAGTGATTGTTGGAGAAAGCAACACAACGATGTTAGCTTGCCTACGGGTGTTAAGGCTGCTTACCTAAGAGAAAGGGAGCAGAGGCCGGTTGCAAAGATAACCGAAGAAGACGTGAAGATGTTCACGCACAAGACGTCACAGAGACGTGATGATGATCAAAGGAAGACACCAAGCAAAAAGTTGAGATGCTTACCTAAGAGTGAAAGGAAGCATTGGCTGGTTGTATAGACAACCGAAGAAGACGTGGAGAAGATTCACGTACAAGACGTCACAGAGACGTGATGATGATCAAAGGATCACATATTTGGTGATCAAGAGGACACCAAAAGGGAAAGAGAAGAAAGCTCACTTAAGAGAAAGGGAGTGGAAGAAGGTTGCAAGAACAGCCGACGAAAACATGATAAAGATCACGGAGAAGACGTGAGGAAAGTTCATGGAGACTTCAAGAAAAACGTGAGAGAGATCACGGGTAAACTTGAAAGTGACTTGGAGAAGACTTTCTGGGGAATGGTCAACATGTAATGACGGCAGGAAAAGGAAATATCCAAGTGATGACAAGCCAAGGAGAGAAGATCATCAAAGAGGTATTTCTAGTGCCGGGTTTAGCGAGTTGAGTGTTTCTCAAATGATATCCAATGGACACGGAGTCTTATTTGAAGACAATAAATGTATCATCAATAAACCTCAAGGAAGAAGGATATTGGATATTAAGATGAAGCAGAAGAGTTTTCCATTGAGATGGAGAAAGTCAGACACAAGTGCTTTACTTGCCAGTGAAGAAGAAGTAAAGAAGGTCAAGAGGGAGATAGAGAAGGGAAGCTTACCAATGTCGTCAAAGGGATTCAACCTAGAGAAGAGGTAAATCACCATGGTGAAGAAGAATCGATGGGATAAATGATGAAATCCCTAGATTGAAATTGGGGATTTAATCAATGGACTCAAGAGGGAGTGTTAGAATTTGTGTCCATGATTAAATCTTGTAATATCATATATGTTATAGTTTGTATGTAAAGTCAACGGATGTCATGTGCTACATGTTACTTACTACGAAAGGGTGTGAGTAAGACACGTAACTTGTCGGAAAAGTTACAACTCTTACCAACGGTTACTTAGAGTAGTTAGTTATGTACACATCTATATAAGTGTGTATGTTGTCTTATGTAAAAACTGTCGAGAATAATAAAGAAGTTTTTCCACTTTTCAATTCTTTGTTTTCTCTACCATGCTCTGTATTTGAAGCAATGGCTTCTACAATTATACAAGAGCAAAAACACCAACAGCGTGTGATTCGTATGATCTTTATAAGGTAAGAAGAGGCTATCACTATTGATGAATGTGTAGATATGATATTTTTTCAGTTTTGTAATTTCAATTTAATTTTACAATTTTCATTTAACCTTGAACAGGATGATGTCAAACTACTAAAAAGAATGAATGTTCAAGCATACCGACTCTCGATAGCATGGTCAAGGGTCTTACCAAGTAAATACAAAAACACTTCTCCTATTCTTCATGCATGATTTCATCTAATTAACAAAAGAAAAATGACCGATAATTTTGTGATTTTTATATACTAATCTTAGAGGGAAGACTGATTGGGGGAGTGGACGAGAATGGGATAACATACTACAACAATCTCATTAACGAGTTGAAAGCAAATGGTAAATTCGAAATTCAAGTACTTAATGCTAATACATTTTAAATAATGTTATTGAATTTGTCGTATAAACATTTAACTTATACGTGAATACAGGCATAGAACCATATGTGACTATTTTTCATTGGGATGTTCCCCAGACTTTAGAAGACGAATATGGAGGCTTCTTAAGCTCACGTATAGTGTAAGTGCATTAACGATTTTGATTCATAACTTCTTCTTTTTTTCTTTCTTTGCTTTAGGTTATGTAACATCGCTATCAAATCTATGTATGCCTAATATGTGCGATACGTGAATAGGGAGGACTACACAAACTACGCTGAGCTTCTATTCCAAAGATTTGGAGACAGGGTCAAATTTTGGATCACTTTAAATCAGCCTTTCTCTCTTGCAACCAAAGGTTATGGAGATGGATCGTATCCACCAGGACGGTGCACCGGCTGTGAATTTGGAGGAGATTCCGGAGTGGAACCTTATACAGTTGCACATAACCAACTTCTAGCTCATGCCAAAGCTGTATCTTTATACAGAAAAAGATATCAGGTATATAAAGTGTAACATCTCTGAGAATTTCATTTGTGCGTCAATTTTTACATATTTGTAGTATATAATCTAAAAATATTTATGCAGAAATTTCAAGGTGGTAAGATTGGAACAACTTTGATTGGGAGATGGTTCGCCCCACTAAACGAATCTAACAATCTCGACAAGGCTGCTGCAAAACGAGCATTCGATTTTTTCGTTGGATGGTATATATATTATGTTCAATTAAATGATTCTTAAAATACATGCACATATATATAAAGTTTTAGTTGGAAAGATTTTGTTAAAAGCACACTTTAATTTGCAACACTAATTTATGAATCTTTTATTACATGAATTAAGGTTCTTGGATCCATTGGTGTATGGAAAATATCCAAAGATAATGAGAGAGATGGTAGGAGATAGATTGCCAGAATTCACATCGGAGGAATCAGCTTTAGTAAAAGGATCACTTGATTTTTTAGGGTTGAACTATTACGTTACACAATATGCAACCGACGCACCTGCTCCAACACAACCTAGTGCAATAACGGATCCACGAGTTACTCTTGGATGTAAGTAAAATTTGTTTTTCCGTATTTTTTTGTGTATATTTTTATTTATATTTTAAGTATCCATACTCATTATTCATTTATTTGGTTTCAGTTTACCGCAATGGAGTTCCTATTGGTGTTGTGGCAAGTATCGACTTAAATTTCAAAAAAATCATTTTCACAGTTAAAAGATTACTAATTCAACTCTATTTTTTCTTTCTTCTACAGGCTCCTAGCTTCGTCTACTATCCTCCAGGATTCCGTCAGATTCTAAACTACATCAAAGACAACTACAAAAATCCACTTACCTACATCACCGAAAACGGTATGTACATATCATTTTATGTTGCATTTGAATATGTTTAACCAATGAAAAATCGATCTAGATATGTGTTTATTACAAATCTAGCTTGTGTTAAAATTTCAGGAGTTGCTGATCTTGATCTTGGAAACGTAACGCTTGCAACTGCTCTTGCCGATAATGGACGAATTCAAAACCATTGCAGCCATCTCTCTTGTCTCAAATGCGCCATAAAGTGAGTTATGATTCCTGTTTTATTTATTTGATATACTTTCTTTGGACAATTATAAATGTTAATATACCAAAAATACTTTTCGAAAAATATTTTATAGGGATGGATGCAACGTAGCAGGATATTTTGCATGGTCACTGATGGACAATTACGAATTCGGAAATGGTTACACTCTCCGGTTTGGTATGAATTGGGTCAACTTCACTAATCCTGCTGATCGAAAAGAAAAAGCTTCTGGAAAATGGTTCTCTAGGTTCCTCGCAAAATAAGTGGAAGCCGGCCCTTGATATAAATCCAAACCTCGAACGTAATAACAATGGTACTGTATGTATTATTATTTTTTAAGACTACCTAAACCTTAAGTGTATTGTATGTTGTTAATAATGTTGTGATAATCGGATCTCATTTCGGGGCCAGTTCATTAATAAATAAAAATGTATTTGAAGTTTGTATTGTTTTTGAATTATACTCTTGCTAAGTATATCATCGCAAAAATCTTTCAACGTTTTACAATTGATACCATGGACACGTATTCAACAAAAGCTCCAAGCCAAGGTGTAACTGTGTAATAATGCCCGTGCATATGTGCTTTAGTAGTATGGAAAGCTTTGGTGAAGGTGAAACTCCCATATCCGAATTCGATCCTCTCTGGAAATAAAAACACATTTGTGTGGAAAGTCTGTCAGTTGGGCGTTGGTCCAATTGGTTTACGTGGTAGTCAGAAATGCAGGCGGGTTTGACTACCCTTGGCATTGGTCGAAAGGTACTCCAAACTCGAAACAAGCAGTGTGGTATCCCAATTTTGGATTACATGGATCTCACGAATCTCATGACCCGTTGTTTGACCCGAGTCCGCTCGGAGCTCATGGTGTCCGTTGAATCGTTGAACTGTTGAACCACATGAATAGTCCACTCTGTAGTACCTCGATGCGTTCTTACCGAAGCCGACCGGATCAGCCGATAGGATTTATCAGAAAAAGAAAAAAAAAAACTGTGTAATAATCAAAACTTTTAATTGTTATAATTTAAACCTAAGAAATAATTCTCTGATAATTACGACGTCCTAGCTAAAACCATTTTGATAATCAATATTAGTAATAGTATGAGTCCTAGCTATAACAATTTTGATTTTTTTTTTTCTATGACAATTAACCCCTGCGAAGTGCGAACAATCCTAATGCCCAATATTTTTAATTCTATTTACGATCTCTTCAGTTGCCTTGCTTCTTTAATTTCCTTCTGTTGCTATCTGATTTCATTAGTGTAATCAATACAAAAGACACGAAAAATGGGTACGTCTTGGTTAAACTTAGTTCTTAGAATACTAAAATTGTGACCCTGATGATTCTTGTGAGTTCGATACCACTGGATATTATCGTGCACTTACTGACTAGCATATTGAGTTAAAACTTGATTGCATCAGTTTGCGCAGTCAAATTGACATACGGAAAGGAGGTGAAGTACAAGAAAGTTGATGAGATGGTGAAGCTGTTCGACCTTCGACGAAGAAGAAAAAAAATCTGCTGATGTGGCCAATACTAAGGGCATTCTCTCCGGTAAACTAGAGGCGTCTCCCTGTGTAGACGCTCTCTCGTTACTCATGAAAAATGAATACTCCAAAACCTAAAGAACCAAGGAAGATGGAAAGGCTTGAGGGACTTAAGAAGCATAAAGACCGCAAGATTTGTCATGTTGCATAAGCCCTTCTTCACCTTTAGCGAGAAAGGATCAGAGAACAAGAAAGTAAAGAATCTGTGGTTTTTACCAAAAAAAAAAAAAAAAAAAAAAAAAAGAATCTGTGACCAAGACGTTTCCTAACAACTCTCGTATAGCTCATTAGATATGTGCATATACATAACCATTTTGGGCTTGATTGGTTCTCCCGCTAGCACCCTCCTAGCGGTTACTAGCGGTCGGTTGCGGTTGTTAGCGGTTGGTACCAATCATAGAAACCGCTCCGTACCGCTTCAAACCGCTCGAAATCGCTGAATTTCAAAAGCTCATTTCCGCAAGCGTTTGCGGTTGCGGGCGGTAGCGGTTGGATTTAAAAAAAAAAAAAAAAAAAAAAAAAATCAAACGTTTACTTATAATTATTATAAAATATATTAATCTTATATATATCTTTCATCTTTGTATCACGTTCTCATCAGAAACCCTAATCAATATTCTAAAACCTTATTTTCTCAATGTCTTCCACCCAAACTGATGAAAATCAATTTGAATATTTTTTTCTTTCATTATATATTGCTTTTCTTTTTGATTGAATATATGTTTCGATTTGTTTTCTCGAATAGAAAATTACTTGCTTTTTGATTGAATTCAACGTTATTTACAGTTTGTCCCATTACTTGATACAATTTTTGGTGTTAACGACCCAGCATAAAGTACTATCTTATTATAAAAATTTTTTATTTTTGAATAATTATTTAGTACTTTATTTATGGTTTTAATTATTAAGCATGTTCAATTTTTCTAATATTATCATAATAATATATTGGTGTTTTTATTTCTTTTTTTTTTTGTAATATTTTTTATTTTTTTAGTCATTTTTTATTTAACTGCTACCGCACCCGCTGGTTTACCAGTCATAAAACTTCCGCAAACGCATCCATTTTCAAACGCTAAACCAGTCGTTCAAAACGCTTGGTAACGCTTGAAACCGCAACCGCCCGCTTCCGCAAACTCCCGCAACCGCAACCGCAACCGCTGCGTTTAAACCAGTCAGACCCTTTGTATCTATAGCATATACAGTATAGATAATTTTCTATTGCTTCCAACAATATCGGATATCTTCCTTTAAAGGATTCTCTGATTGGCTAAAATAATTATTTCGCCAAGATTTTCTCTGTATAAGTTTTGTAACAAAAAGAAATGCACTGGGGGTTATTGAACGTAAGAATTGTTATAAACCATATGGATGGACTCCATAACCGGCCCATGGCCCATTAGGGTTTTACCTTAGTCTCTGTATCCTGCTATTATCCTTGTATATATATCCTTTATACTATTAATGAAAGACACAGTTCACAACACGTTATCAGACATTTTGATATTTTATTAATTTAATATAAACCGTAGGTTAAACCGAAAGTAAACCGAAACCCTAAATCCTAGGTTAAACCGGTTTAATAAACCCTAAGTCACGGTTTAAGATCAAGCTTCCTATAAATGGAAAGTTTCCAGAAATAGAAAGTTCCATATAAAGAAAGTTTACAGAAACAGAAGGTTTCCTAAAATAGCAAGTTTCCCAAAATAAAAGGTTTCCTAAAATAGCAAGTTTCCCAAAATGGAAAGTTACCAAAATAGGAAACCCCTTCATAAGGAAATATTCCAAAACCCTAAAATACATAATTATTTAGGATTTCTTTCTAGATGAGAAATAGAAATTTTCCATAAAAGGAAAGTTCCATATAAGGAAAGTTTCCATAAATAGAAAGTTCCATACATAAAACCGAAATCCTAGCAAAAACCCTAGTACTATAAATCGCGGATGCTAAAACCCTAAAACTTAACCGCGAAATCCTAATATCCTAATCTAGTATGATCCCATTGTTTGGTTGTTGCATACTAGATCAATCTTCTAGGGTTGATTTCATCCATATATATATAACATGATTGTTTAGAAAACACTTGCTGAAGACAAGCATGGCTCGGTCTTAAATACCGCATGACTTGGTCTAACCGATTTAACTCATTTAACTCTATATATTATAGATATCAGAAATCAACTATTATGAATACATGGCACTCAATGCCTCTGGTGACAATTATTTAAAATGGGCTTTGGACACTGAGATTGTCCTAAAGGAAAAAGGGCTTGGTGAATCTATTGTAGAAGGAAACAATGTCACCAGAAGAGAAAGATATTAGGCGATTACTAACATACGCCATCACCTCAATGAGAGTCTCAAAATCAGTACCTCACTATTAAGAATCCTCTGGACCTCAGGACAGAGTTGAAAAAAAAAAAAAAAAAAAAACGGTGCTATTACCCAAAAGCCCGATTCGATCGAAAGAATCTCAGATTCCAAGAATTCAAATCCATGAATAAGTATAACTCAGCACTATTTAAAATAGTGTCAATACTGAGATTCCGTGGTGAGGAAGTTACTGAGAATGACTTGCTAGAGAAAGCATTCTCGACCTTTCACACAAACAATATATTTCCTCAGCAACAATATCGTGAAAAAGGTTTTTACCACATATGCAAGTCTAAACTCTTGTTTTTGGGGAGGACTCCTCTGTAGAGAGTGCTAAGGAGTGAGGCTTTGGAGAAACCGTGATGAGAACATTGATTCTGATATGCTACTTGCTGAGCAAAACAATGAGTTATAAATAGTGAAATGAGACCTCCTGGTCCTACCCTATTATCAGAAGCCCGTTGGGCTGAAGAGCCTAAAGAGACTAAAGAGTCTAACCACGTCCAAAGAGATAAGTATCATGGCCACAGTCATGGTAAATGGAATGGACGTGGTAGAAGTGGAAATTATAATTTATATGATCAAGGAAACCATTCATATGGTTTAGGCCACCGACCCGACTTTGGTCGTAATCGAGGTAGGCCACGGTATACCCAAACCACAACACTCAAATAAACTTGTTTGCCACTGATGAGGAATGGGGAAACCATTGGACTAAGACGTGCATGACACCTAAGCATCTCGTTGATCTCTATCAAGAGAGTTTGAAAAGAATCAAGAAGCTCATTTAGTTCATCACGATGGTGAAGAAGATTTCGACCATGAGATAGATGATTATGAGAATTCAATAAACGAAATATCTAAAGACATGGTTCATTAGCCAAATTGCGGGTATAGCTAAATTTAGTGAAGGCTAAGGGTAGGCCCATGGCAGGCCCATATTCCCAAGGGCACGCATCCTCAGATGCTTCATATTCACCCAGCTCAAAGGGGCTTGTTGAGTTTCAAAGAAATGTGTTTGAATAGTTTCCACATTGAAACTAAGGGTGAAGGGAACAAAGGATTCCCATATATTACTAAGAACATCCAAGACCATGAGAAGGTCTTACAGACTATACCCGCGTCATATATCTTTACTATGCCAAGGTCAATATGATAAAGGCTAATAAAGTAAACAAAAGGGTTTACTGAGAAATTCACTAATGGCATGACCGGCTTGGCCAGCCCGGTTCGAATATGATGCGTAAATTAATTCAAAGTTTTAATGGGCACACCCTTAAAGAAAACTGAGTTTTCCCTAAGCACCACATGTGCATAGCCTGTTCACAAGGGAAGCTTATCACTCGACCTTCACCAGTCAAAGTGTCTAAAGAGACCTTACATTTTCTGGAACGAATTCAAGGAGACATATGTGGTCCGATCCATCCACCTTGTGGAACATTTCGGTACTTCATGGTTTTAATCGATGCATCGACCCGCTGGTCGCATGTTTGTCTTCTAGGAACCAAGCGTTTGTTAGGTTATTGGCCCAAATCATCAGATTGCGAGCCTATTTTCCAGATTTTCCTCTTAAGACCATACGTTTAGATAATGCTGGTGAATTCACTTCCCAAGCATTTAATGACTATTGTATGGCCATGGGGGTAAGTGTGGAACATCCTGTGGCACATGTCCATACACAGAACGGATTAGCTGAATCCCTCATTAAACGAATTCAACTAATTGCTCGACCATTACTCATGAGGTCGCAGCTTCCGGTCTCAGCTTGGGGACATGCAGTTTTACACGCTGCTGAACTAATACGCATTCGGCCATCTAGTGAGCATAGATATTCCCCATCCCAATTGCTAACGGGTCATGAGCCAGACGTTTCCCATCTAAAGACATTTGGGTGTGTCACCTATTTACCCATAGCACCACCACAGAGAGCAAATGATGGGACCTCAAAAGGGGATGGGAATATACGTTAAAAATGATTCTCCCACCATCATTAAGTATCTCGAGCCAAAGGCCAGATACAAGGATTGTCATCTCAATGAATCTGTTTTCCCAACACTGGGTGGAGAGACTAACAAGCTGGTCAAAGAACTTATATGGAATCAAACATCCTTCACATGGTAAGATCCTCGGACTCCATCAGAGATCCAAAAGACTATATATCTGCAAAAGCTAGCTAAAACAGTTGCCAAGATTCCTATAATGACCCAAAGAGAGTAACAAAATCGTACATACCAGCTTGTAATGCACCAGTACGTATTGATGTTCACAAGGAACACAATCAAGTTGCTACAGAGGCTACAACACGTAAGAAACGTGGTAGACCCAAAAGGTTCCAAAGACAAGAACCCTCGGAAATCAAAGAAAGGTGCAAGGGAAACCGAGAAGGTTCAAGGAACCATAGACATGGCCGGCTAATAGACATAACCCTAAGGTACCAATCAATGAGATTTGGGACGCCAAACCTCAAGGTCCTGAAGGTGTAAAGAGATCTCTATAAACTATATCATGTCTTGAATACAATGGAACCGAAAAGATGTCGACATAAATGATAATATATTTGCGCACAAGGTAGCAACTGAAATGAATGAGGATCAGGAGCCCACGTCTATACTAGAGTGCACTCAAAGACCTGATTGATTAAAATGGTACAAGACCATAAAACGTGGAGCTAAGAATCATTAAGAAGAAGAATGTGTTTGGTCCAATACGAAGGACACCATTCAATGTAAAGCCAGTAGGACAAATGAGTCTTTGTGATTATGTGAAATAAACATAGTGAAAGCGTGATATATCAGACACGGCTTGTCGCACAAGGATTCACACAAAGACCAGAAATAGAGGAGATATACTCCCCTGTGGTGGATGCTAAAACATTTAAATTTTTGCTAAGTCTGGCTATATAAAAGAGAAAGATTTGCGGCTAATGGATGTAATGCCTGCATATTTATATAAGTCCACTGGATAATATATGAGATTACCAGAGGGTATTGAGCTCAAATATAAGAAAGATTCTCGAGAACAGCACTGCATAAGGCTGGACAAATCCTTATATAGACTGAAACAAAGCGGACGTATGTGGTATAACTGGTTAAGCGAATATCTCATCAGAGAAGGCTATTAAAACGATCCGATCAGTCCATGTATTTTTATCAAGAGGTTTGCAAACAAAGGATTTGTAATCATAGCAGTGTATATGAATGATTTAAACCTCTGGATAATCGCCCAAACAGTTGAGTATATCTAAAGAAAGAATCTCAAATGAAAGACCTAGGCAATAATTAAGTTCTGTTTGGGATTACAACCTGAGTACGTGAATAATGGAATCCTTGTGCATCAAATGGCATACACTGAAAGAGTACTCAAGGAAATTTAATAAGGACCAGGCCCGCCCATTGACCAGGCCCAATGGTGGTGAGAAGCCTTAGATTGGATAGTGATCCATTCAGTCCGGAAATGCCATACCTCAGTGCCATAGGAGTTCTAATGAATTTGGCTAGACACACTAGACCAAACATTTGTTTTGCCGTGAGTCTCCTGTCTAAATTTAGTTCATGATCAACCCAAAGGCACTGGAAAGGTTTAAAGGAAGGTTTGGTTAAAATTTAAAGTTCATTCTTCCTGCGTTGTTTACTTGGGTTTTATTCTATACTGATCTAACCAAAGAAGGTCCAATTTGCTTTGGTTTAGTTTGATTTACTAATGCAGGATATTCATAAGATCAGATTATGGTATGGTCAATGAATAGGATCTATGTGTGGCTTGATCCCTTCCAAGGGTACGTAGGCAGCCTTCCTTAAGGCGCATCTACTACTACATCAAAGACCATCATATTTGAAGACAACGCATCCTGTATTGCTCAACTCAAGGATGGCTACACTAAGAGGGATCGAACGAAGCATATTCTGCCCAAGTTCTTCTTCACTCATGAATTACAGAAGGACGGTCAGGTCAAAGTTCAACAGATCCGGTCAAGTGAGAATTCAGCCGACCTATTCACCAAATCATTGCCGACTTCAACGTTCCGGAAGCTCATTCATCAGATCGGGATGTGCGGACTTAAGGATCTACAGTGATGCTCAAATCAGGGGAAGTAATGTGTGTTGTACTCTTTTTCCTTCACCATGGTTTTGTCCCACTGGGTTTTCCTGGTAAGGTTTTAATGAGGCAACATTCCCCAGGGCATTATAGAGATCCCGGTTTAGTATCGGGCACGGTTATGTCTTCCAAGGGGGAGTGTTATAAACCATATGGATGGACTCCATAACCGGCCCATGGCCCATTAGGGTTTTACCTTATTCTCTGTATCCTGCTATTATCCTTGTATATATATCCTTTATACTATTAATGAAAGACACAGTTCACAACAAGAATGTTATTCATTTTAATTTTTTAAAAATTATATATAAATCTAGTGTTATTTAGTTATGGATCCATAGTTTTTTAATTCTATTGTTTTTCAATTAGTGATTTTAAAATTCTATTAAATGTTAATGTTTTTCAATATTAGGATAATTTTGATGACAATGTTATTTAATTAGAACCTTAATAGAAAATTGGATGTAAAATATGTGAAGAACCAAATCCCACCTTTTATGGTGTCAATATATATATTTTTTTTCCTTCTAAATTCATTGATATCAAATCAAAATACAAAGTCAGAATACAGAACTTCGGAAAACAAATTATTACATAAGCATATTTATGCACCATAAATTGAGAAAGATACACAAACTGAAGTGAATTGACGATGCTTTCCGCAGATAAGCCTTACTCGCTAAAGGATTATTAAATCCATTATTTTCCTTCATATCCAATCTTGCTCTTATGCGAATTATGTGCGTGGGTAGCATCTCTTGGCTGAACCTCCGTATTACACACCGCATTATAAAACCCGATGCTTCCGATAACAGTTCAGATTTGTAGACATTATGATACCAAAACTTCCATATCATAGTCATTTTAACTATCTTTGGCTTTGTATTTCTTTCCATTCGATCCCAATAATGACTTATTACTTGTCGGTGTGGTACGAACCATCTTGTGGCGAGAGTTATACGTATCCCATGTTTCTCCATAGCAACCATTGATAGCATATATCGCCAACTTCGGTGTCTTTCTTCCAATAAATCCATCTGGATCATATAACTCCTACCGCTATGTGTCTTGTTTTTTAGAGCCACACAATCCTCAACTAGAGTGTTTCTCAAATCTTCAACAAATCCGAGATAAATATCAAGCAATATCTCAATCAAATTTTCTTCCATAACTAAAAGGAAGATGAAAACTCGATAGGGACAACGCCAAACAATTTTGGGTGGAACCTCCAAAATGTTTACAAAAAAGCACCAATCCATTGAAGGAATGGTGAAGAAAACACTCGGACTTGAGTAATCCTTACCATAGATCTCAGAGAAGATGGTAATATCGATGAGGATCAATCTACTTGCCAAGACAACGCTCTCCAAAAGTGGAGAGAAAGAAACCGTCATTGTCAACCAACAAATTGCCATAGCCACGAAGGTGTTGTTTAGAGACAGAACCAATCGGTGGAGACATAGTGGGATAGTGACGGAGGAGATCAGCGACCGGAGGACAATCACGGTGGAGAGAACTTTGATCGCGTTCGTAGTGGAGATATAATCGATAAAAACTTTCAGATACTTTAAAATCTATCATTTATTTTTCTTATGTATTCTTCTAAATTCAATATTTGAATACGCCTTCCTTACATGTGAAGTAATTAACTTCTGACAAAAAATAATTAAAAAAAAAGATTATATGAACTTGTCAAATTTCACATTTCTATTGGTCAAGTGATTTGTGTTTTCTCTTATAAAAGATTTCATTCCTTGTTTTTAGTTTATGTAAGTAAAATTTGGACATAAAAGTGAAAAAAAAAGCAGATTGAGAAAACAAATTGGGAACAAGATTTACATTGACAATCCCAAACTCTCCCTATAAAAACGCGTTGGATCTTTCATAAACTTTTCACTTTTCACCGATTTGAAGTTATGACTTCAATCAGTGACTTTCCAGATGAATTGTTGTTGAATATACTTTCTTCGCTTCCAAGTAAAGATGTGGTAGCCACGAGCGTCTTGTCAAAACGTTGGCGATCTCTTTGGAAGGAGGTAAAAACATTCAGGTATGATGGTGAATCCATAGGTAGAACTTACTGGAAGTTTGTGCTATTTATTAGTAAAAGATCAAGCGTTGAGACCATGCAGCTCAAGCTGAATCCTCATTGTACACATAGAGACATCAAACCTTTGATTAACATTGCAGTTGCTCGATCCTTGAGAGAGCTGAGAATTGAGATGATTTGTGAGTCCTTCGAGTTGCCCAAAAGCTTTTACATGTTTTCACAACTTGAAACTGTTATACTTGAGAAAGTAAGTTTGGAGGATGTTCCACGTAATGCTCATTTTCCTTGCCTCAAACGTCTCCACCTTTTATCGGTCAAGTTCACGGGGGACGAATCTGTGAAAAAACTTCTAAGCCTATGCCCCATTCTTGAAGAGTTGGTAGTGAAACGAAGCTCTCTTACCAATGTAATGATATATACGATCGATGCGCCTCTGCTGAGGATCTTATCTATCGATAATACTTCTGGCAAATCTCGGCCTGAAGGTGTTCATGGATTTGTGATAAATGCCCCTTCTTTGAGATGCTTTAGCATTAGGGACAGCTTCAGCAACTATTTACAGTTTGAAAACATGCCCCAGCTGTCAAGGCGAGAGTCAACGTTGTTTGTGATGAACCTGACAAGTTTCTAGGATCTCTTGCCTCAACCCAATATCTTTCTTGTTGTGTCACTTCAGAGGTACAAACTTTTTTGGTTGTTTGTCAAGTATCTAACCTTTTCTAATTGAATTCTTACTCTCTATGTTTTGCTTCATTTGCAGACTCCGGATTCGTATCTTCCTACTGGGACTTCCTTCGTATTTCTTGACCATCTAGAGCTATGTTTATGTTCTACGGAGTGGTGGAACTTACTGACCTGTATACTCGTTGATGCTCCGAAACTTCGAGTTCTCAAGCTCAAATTGGTATGTGGTTCCTCCTTAGAATCCTCTGTTGCCTTTTTGTGTATCGTGTTTCCACTTTCTTCAAGACCTATTAACACTGACAGAATGTATATTTTCTTTGTTCTGTAGTATCGAAAACATTGTGTCCGGTACAACGATGTGATGGATCAATGGAACCAACCAGACTATGTTCCCATGTGTTTATCATCATATCTTGAGATCTTTGAGTGGAGGCAATACAACGGTAAAGAGAAAGAGAGAGAAGTTGCAAAGTACATTCTAGCAAACGCGAGTCGTCTAAAGAAGGCGACATTCTACTCAGAATCTGGAGAGAAGGATGGGATATTGAAAGAGTTAGAATATATGGCCAGAGGTTCAACGACATGCAAGCTTGTGTTTGATTAAACGCTTGTGTTATCAACAATTATAAAGAGAATAATATGCATCTTTCATTGATTCAAAAAAGACTTTTATTTTTAGTTTGAGTCTACTCTGGTTTATTAATTAACAAATTTCTCGTTTACTTCTCCATGCCTTGTGGCAAATACTGAATCAAGTCGTATCTAGCAGTAGTCCATTTTTTATAAGCATTGGTACAGACATGAATCATAAACATAGCTCTATGGCTCGTGAAGTCACCACCCTTTTGGTGTTGAAGAATAAAGAAGATGAGATATCTCAGACTCTTGAAGCAGTAGAGATTAAGAAAACAATCAAACTTTCAGAGTTGGATACGAAAGATGAAACAGAGAAGATTAAGAAAGAAACAAATAAATCTGTTGATGTGGCCAACACAAAGGGCGTTCTCTCTGGTAAACGAGAGGCGTCTCGTTGCGTTGACGCTCTCTTGTTACTGATGAAAATCAATATTACTCCAAAACCAAAAGAACCAAGGAGGATGATGGATAAGCTTGAGGGACTTACAAAACATAAAGACCGCAAGTTTTGCCATGTTACATCAGCCCTTCTTCACTTTTGGAGACAGAGAATCAGAGACACAAGAACGTAAAGAGTCTGTGACCAAGACGTTTACTAACAACTCTTGTAAAGCTCATTATATATTTTTGGTCAAGGCTTCATTAGAGAATCTACAAATATGTGAAGATCATGGCTTGAACAAAGAAAGTCTCTAAAGAAAAATTGATCATTTCTATGCACGGTTGAGTGTTAAGCAAGTATTCTAGTGGATTTCCAGAATGTTAACTAAATCATCCCGACGAGATATAGGGTTCCACATTGGAACCTGAACTTGTAAAATTCTTAGTGTCTTTACTTTTCTCTGCTTTGTTTTGTTACACACGAGAGATCGAGAGAAAAAGAAGTCAAGAACCAAACCATGATGAGTGTCTCCAAAACAAATATTCACAGATACATAGTTCAGAACTTCAGATTAAACCTCACAAGAGGGTTAACGATGCTTTAAAATATCACAAATGTTATATAGATGTGTATTAATATTGTGTTTTGTTAATCGGCAACATAAGACCAGTGCCGGTCCGAGCATTTGTGAGGCCCTACACGAAAAATAAAATAATGTCCAATATATTTATAAGTTTTAGGGCTAAATTTTTTTTTTTGACCTATTTTTAGTAAATTATACAAAAATAATGATATTTTGAATATTATTACATTCAAATTTAATTGTTTGGGTCCTATTTTATTTATTTTTTTCGAAAAAAACTTTAGTTTTTACTAAATATTTTCATTTTATGAGCCTTTTTACCAAAAAAAAAAAAAAACCTTAAAAAAAAAAAATGTGTGGTGCCCCAAGCCACCGCTTGGGTGGCCTGTCCTGCGGGCCGGCCCTGCATAAGACCAATTGCAATTTATAAACTAAATTCACATATCCAAATGAATCTTAGAAAATGGATAATATAAACACAACTAGACAACCGATACACAAGAGCATTTTAATTTGTATCTATATCACTAATCCAGTTCCGCTAAAATATAAGTTGTGAAATCACATTCTGTTATAAACCACATGTTGGATGGACTCCATAACCGTGGACCTTATGCATATTCTAGAAGGCCCATGTCCATGTCCTAGAAGGCCCATGCCCATGTTCTTGAAGATTCTCCTTATGACGGCCTATATTGTACTTAGTGGGCTTTTGGGCTTTAGGGTTTACTAGCCCAATGGGGATTTGTCTCCCCTCATCATGTATATATATGTATCGAAATCTCATTCATTAATCAATAGAACAACACAGTTTACAACACGTTATCAGCACGATAGCCTCTAAATCCCTTAGCTAAAGATCTGACACATAAACCCTAATCTCACGATTTCTCTATCTCCATCAAACCCCTAAAACGCAAAGAAATCTGCCTCAGAACTTCAAAGAGGTCGTTCTCTCAAATCGTGAGGACCCAGAAAACGAGCAAGATATCAAATCGAAGCCCTCGCCGAGACGAATCCATCAGTGCAAACGGCTTGTCGATCTAACCACCGACGCGCCCTCACGCACAGATACAGTGTGCGCCGATTTGTTTTGAAAACCCTAGCTCGTCCGTCCGTTTGCTTTCCCCTTTGCTCGGCGATTCCTTCCAAGGACCATACGCTCGTGACAAGTTGAAAACTGAGGTCTTTAGCTCCCAGTTCATTACCATACAACCCCATAAGGTGAAAGGTTGCTAGAAAGTTCTTATTGCTTAAACCTAAATCGCAAATCGAAAACACTTAAGATATGGCTGAAACTTTTAAGAAAACTAAAACCCCTAACTCGCATATCTAAAAGAAACTTAAATCAAGAATCGGAAACCTTTAAAAGCTACATCCGAAACCTAAAAACCCTAAAGTATAAAATCGATTGATTGAGGTTGCTTAAGTTGTTTAGATTGATTGTTTCTATGATTGGTTGCATGCATAAATTGATAGAAATCAAAACCTAAAATCGCATGAACCCTCAAACCCTAGAAACCTAGAAATAGAAACCTAGAAAAGGAAGAATCCTATTCTAAATATGAAAAGCAAAATCCTAAAGAAAGCAGGAAAACCTAAATAAAATCCTAAATCCTATTGTAAATAGGAAATTTTAAAATACCCTAAATCCTAATTAAATTAGGAAATTCATAAATCCTATTCAAGATAGGAAAACTTTAAGAAATAGAAAATTTCCAAATCCTAAATAAAATAGGAAATCTTAAAAATCTAAAATCATAAGTGAAATAGGAAAATTAATCCTAGAGTAAAGAGGAAAGTAAATCCTAAAAGGAAAAGGAAAAATTAATCCTAATTAAAAGAGGAAATCTAATCCTAAGCAAAAGAGGAAATCTAATCCTAAGCAAAAGAGGAAAGTCAAATCCCTAAGTAAATCGATTCATGGTTTGGTCTCAAATACCGCATGACACTAACGATTACATGATTTTGACTCAAAACTTTTCCTTCTAGATGTTGAATTACAACTTGTATTTTACTGCCCTAAATCTCTTAGGAGATAATTATTTAAAATGGGCAATGGATACTAAGATTATCCTAAAGTCAAAAGGACTTGGTGAATGTATCTAATAAGGCAAGAATGCCAAGAGAGAAAGATAGATACAAGACAATATTAGCCACCATCTTATTGAGAGTCTCATAATCCAGGACTATAAGTCCGTGGATGAGTCTATTGCTAGATGAAAAAAAAAAAAAAAATAATGACTTACAGATAAAAACAGTGAGTTACGACCTCATAGATTAACCCCATTACCTAATGCCAATAAGGCCGCAGAGGATAAGAAAGAATCCAAAGAATCTAACCACGTCTAAAGTGATAGACCACACGGCCGTGACCGTGGTGGATGGAAAGGACGTGGTTGTGGCCACTATAACTCATCCGGCCATGGGAACCACTATAACCGTGGATGTAGACCCAATTCCGGCCGTGGTCGAGGGCGAGGACGATGTGGTATTTCCAAACCACAACACTCGACCAAATGAGTATGCCATAGATGTGGTATTGAAAGGACGTGGTTGTGGCCACTATAACTCATCCGGCCATGGGAACCACTATAACCGTGGATGTAGACCCAATTCCGGCCGTGGTCGAGGGCGAGGACGATGTGGTATTTCCAAACCACAACACTCGACCAAATGAGTATACCATAGATATGGAATGGGAAACCATTGGGCTAAGATATGTAGGACTTCCAAACATCGTTGTGACCTCTATCAAGAGAGTGTAAAAGGGAAGAATCCTAAAGCCCATTTGGTATATAAAGATGGTGAACATGATCAAGATGATCTAATAGAGTATGAAACTTCTGATTGCATAAAAGAATCAAGTTGATAAATCTTACTTCGACATCAAAACCTCTATGTTTTTCTTTGCATTTTATGTGTTCATTGATTGTTATTTGCTTGAATTTATTTTATATTATTTTATGTTTAGAACATGATTCTTGTCCATATAAGAAATGGCCGAGGACAAGAACATAATTGTGGTGGATAGTGGAGCCACACAAAAGATAAGAGATATTTTCCTAAATCTCATAATGAAAAATGCCAATATTAGCACCATAGCGGGTATAGCTAGTCTTATTGAGGGCCATGGTCATGCCCATATACTTTTATCAAAGGGCACGCATCTTGAAATAAGCGATGCCCTATATTCACCCAGCTCGAAGAGGAGCTTGTCAAGTTTCAAAATATATAAGATTGAATGGTTTCCATATTGAAACAAAGGGTGAAGGGAACAAAGAATTCCTAAATATAATTGAGATCACCCAAGGACATAAGAAAGTCCTAAGAGACTATACCCGCATTATCCACTGGTCTCTACTATGCTAAAATCGATATGATCGAAGCTAATATGGCAATGAACAAAGAGTTCATCAAGAAATTCACTTTATGGCATGACCGGCTTGGCCATCCGGGTCATAGTATGATGCGTAAACTAATAACTAATTCAAAGGGGCACACCCTAAGAGAGAAAAGAGTTATCCCTAAGAATCTCACGTGTGAAGCATGTTCACAAGGGAAACTCATTATAAGGCCATCACCGGCTAAGGTAAATAAAGAGACCTTAAAATTTCTGGAAAGGATACAAGGAGACATATGTATGGTCCTCATTGATGCATCGACAAGATGGTCGCATGTTTGTCTCCTATCTACTAGAAACCAAGTGTTTGCTAGGTTATTGGCCCAGATAATAAGACTGCGAGCCCACTTTCCAGATTTTCCGCTTAAGACTATACGTCTAGACAATGCCGGTGAATTCACGTCCCAAGCGTTTAATGACTACTGTATGTCCATGGGGGTAAGTGTGGAACATCCCGTAGCACATGTACATACACAGAATGGATTAGCGGAATCCTTCATTAAACGAATTCAATTGATAGCTCGACCATTACTCATGAGGTCGAAGCTCCCAGTAGCCGCTTGGGGACACGCTGTTTTACATGCATCAGAACTTATACGCATAAGGCCATCTAGTGAACATAGATATTCACCATCCCAATTACTTATGGGTCATGAGCCAGACATATCCCATCTAAAGACTTTCGGGTGTGCCATATATGTACCGATTGCTCCACCACATAGAAACAAAGATGGGACCTCAAAGGAGGATGGGAATATATGTTGGATTTGATTCTCCCACCATTATTAAGTATCTAGAGCCAACTACGGGTGATCTATTTAAGGCTAGATACGCGGATTGTCATTTTAATGAATCCGAGTTTCCTACTATAGGTGGAGAGACGAACAAGC